AAGCTAGGGCCCAGTGACCAAGCCCTGCCTTGACCCATCTCGGAGGGCCAAGAACCCTAGGGTAGCAGTGACCATTCCCCCACACACACACTCAGAAGCCCTTGTGTTCCCAGCCAAGATTGGAATCAGGCCCGAGAAGGGACACCCTTCTCCTAGGGGACAGTTCTTGGCTAGGGGAGGGAACTGAGCAGTGGGAGAGGAGGCAAGGGGACCATGTCCAACATCCTTTCTTTGCTCAACGTGGTCTCCTGTCACCCTTGCGTTCTTCGCCACATGATGGCTCTTGTAATCACTTTTGAAGTTTGCTCCCGTATCTGTACTGAGCAAACCACTATGTAGGAGCCAGGGTGACGCAGATCGTGCTTTCACGAGACAGCCTGCCATATCAGCCCAGGCGCTGGCCTGCAGACGGTGCTCTGGAGTGGTGTTGAGACAAAGGTGCAACAGCACCAGACTGTGACTTGTGCTCTGTGACGTCTAAGCCAGGGTAGAAACTCCAGCAGCACACCACCTCTGAGACTCTGGGACAGCTGTCTGGAAGGCTGTGGGAGGCATGTGTAGGGCTTAAGCCTGTGGCCTTGGGCATCTGGGCCTGGTGGGAGTTGCCCTCTAGTGCTGACTGGGTGACAGAAAGCAATTACCAGCCTCATTTCTTCCGCGGCCTCATCTGGAAATGGGGACAGCAGGACGGACATGGTGGGACATGAGGGGATCACCAAGGCACGAGCCAAGTATGTTCCCCAGCATAGGCAAGGTGTGCTGAGGGTGTCACTGCTACAAGACTCTAGATACCGCGGGCTAGGACAGTCACCAGGGTGGCCCAGCAGTGCCCATGGCCCCTGAGCTTCTTCTAGCCAAAGACAGGCAAGGCCCCATACACCCCCCACCCCAGGGGACTGGCTGCTGGCCCCTGCCTCCCCACCTCCTGATATACAGCAGGCATTAGGCCGCCCAAAGGGGACACTGCATCCTTAGGAAGAAATATGTCCTCATTTTTCTTAAACACCGTTTCCACTGAGTGAAATGTTTAGAAGGGACGCGCAGGGAGAACTTTATTTCCTACCAGGGAGTTCAGAGCCACCAAGCAGAGCCCATAAAGCACCGCAGCCCGGTGGCTGACAGGCAGCCTGGCCACAAAATACATTACTCATGGGGGGGTGGAGGCAGGGGGCTGCCAGGCCTGCCCAGCCCCATGGGACTGCCCCTACCCCAGCAGGCTCAGCAACTCCAAGACCCAGGGCCATGAGACAGTAGGCACCGAGCCTCTCCTATTGTGCCCAGGCCGCCTGTGAGAGAGGGTCTGGCCGGACCGGATGGGGAGGGAGTGGTGTTTCTAGCTACCTTTGGTCTTCACTTCATGGTCAGGGAGGCTAGGGCGCATGGGGCCCAGGTGCAGCCCTCTGAGCCCCCCCTTCTCCCGAAGCTGGCAGAGCTCTGGCCTTCCCAGCCTTCGGAGGGAGTGATGAGATTCATGCCGTATCGGGCCCTTCTCCCGAGGCCCTCCTTCATTCGATTTCTGAAGCTGGCTGATTTGAATATTTATAAATATCAGTAAATTATTTATTGTAGCAATCTGCTGCACCATTTTATCCATCGCAGTTAACACTTTAGGGGGCTCCAAGTTATGGGAACAGGAAGTGAGGTTGAAGAGGAGATGGCATAGGCTAAGCAACGGAGGAAACCCCTGTAGGGAAGCCGAGGCCGTTTCCAGGCCCAGCCTCAGTGGCTCCTGGGAGCCTGCGCTCACGCTCTGAGGTGTGTAGAGCTCCAGGGTCAGCTCCCTGTCCTTAAGGGTTTAGTTGTGCCTCTCTTACCCAGCCCCACGGGTTCTACTTTCTACTTGGATGCCTGCTGCGGGGCGTGGGGCTTGTGGAGTTCCAAGCCCTCATAAAGAGAATTGGGACCCAGGGAGCTTAGAGGTGGCAACCCCAAGCCTCCTGTCTTTCCCAGCTACTTTCCTGGGCCAAATGAGCCTTAGAAGCTTGATTGACACGCGGCATCGCACCTGCCTGTTGCCCCTCTTGGGCTGGGCGTCCTTTTCCCTGGCCTTGCTAGCCAGGCCCTGTGCTTGCTTGGCAAAGACAGACGTTACCTTGCACTTGTAGTGCTTCTCCAGGGAGAAATCTGGCCCAGGGCTTGGAGCTCACAACAGGCAGAGCCAGGCCGTGCCCTCAGGACTCTGACCACAAGGCCAGGCCATAACCTACACTGTGCACTTCCTAGTGATTACCCTGCCGGTGCCGAGCCACTCAGTGCCAGGACTGGATGGGACTCTTCCGGGTCTCCTCCTCTACCTTCGTCTCGTCTCCCAAGTCGGCCTGTCTCTGGGTGAGCAGAGCAGGAGCCCCCCTTCCCACCCTCCTGCCCAAGCCTGCCTCCTGGGCAGTATTGTTCCCAGAGGAAGTGTCCAGTGTAAATAGAGCAGCGGGCAGGCTAGTGGCGGGAAGGAGATGAAAGGGGCAGTGACAGGACCGGGGACGGATGGCTTCCTTCCATTGAGGCCTGGCCATGGCGTTTATATTTTAGGGAGGAAAGTCAGAGGAATGTTTACATGGATAGGAATCTAGGGTCAGACCGGTGGGGGGGGGGTGTGTTAATCTGTAGGTTCCGAGACCTTGATGGAGGGGCTGGTTGAAGGTTCATGGGGACCGGAAGGCAGGCAGGCAGGCTCAGCTCTCGTCCTCATACATAAGCCCCTTCCTGCTGCCCCGGCCTCGCACGCGCGTGCAAGCTCTTATGACTGTCAGCCTTGCCTTTGCCCGTGACTCTCTGTCTCTGTGTCCTGGGCCCAGACACCTCCTACTTCTCCACCTCCACCCTTGGGACCATCCGTAGAGTCAGGGGGAGGGCAACATCTGGAAGGCAGGTGGTCTGGGGCAGAGTAGCAGCTGGAGGGCAGGTGCAAAGGGAGTTGGCTAGAGCGAAGGGGCCTGGGGCTGGGGGTGGGCCCAGAGTGCACAGCTGCATCGCAGCTGGTGGGGGCCTAGGCAGAGGCTCGGCATGAAGCCGAGATAGAGAGAGGGTGGGTTGTTCTGGGTGGGCCGAAGTTCAGGGAGGCTCCAGGATGGGTGGAGACCCGAGGGGGGTGGTGTTGCCAGCAGCAAGTGCAGCCCTGAGAGCTTGTGCTTCCCTCTTCCTTGGGATAAATATTTATAGATTCATTTGCCGTCTGCCATACATACACACTTGGCTGCTTACCTCCTGGTAAAAATAGTGCAGGCTCCTCCGCTCCGCCTGCCTCTTCCCATCCAAGACAGGGGACAAAGGGGCCCAGGTGAGGCCCGCTACCCCGTTGAAAGTAATGTGTTGTCATAGAGCCTGATGGTCTCTGCCCAGAGGCTAAGTGGGATGGGTGTGGCCCTGAGCCCCATCGAGAAAAGGATCCACAAGTGGGTGCTCTGGATTTGTATTGGCCAGCACAGGAGGACAAGCTTGAACAGAGTGGCCATTGGCTTGGGCAGGGGCCAGAGGCCCCGAAACCATGGCCTCCGGATACGGGGACAAGACTGAACTGCGGTGGAATAGGCCGGTGTTACCCTGTCCTTTCTGGGCCAAGTAGAGCCGTATATATCTCATCAGCTTGTGACAAGGCAAGGATCTGACGCCACTGGGCGTTGCATATTTGAAGGGGCGGCTAGTCTGTATGTACAAGTCCGAGCAGTTATCTTTGTGTGACATGAGGCCTCCAGGCACAGAGGTAGCCACAGGTGGGCTCTTGGGGTACAGGTTTCCGTGGTATTTGGTCATCGTAGGCCACAGCCCTGAGCAGAGCCCCTCACATAGCCTTGTGACCCATAAGGGACATGCCGGTTTCCCTGGAAAGAGCTGTGGGAAAGTAGATGGGGTTCCTGTGTGCTAAGGTTTTGTGGGTGGAGACCTCCCATGTGGCCGCTGGCCTGTGTCTAGTCGTACCACGAGGTCTGGCACAGAGTAGGACCTCACTAAATGTGTGGTGGACAACTGACAGGTGGATGTACAGGGTTAGGATATGTATGTGTGTTTGCCTTTGTTTGTCTTCCTGGCCAGGGTGCCCCTGAGATCCTGAGAGCACTGGCTAAGTGGTGCAAGGGGATGGCCACTGCTCTAGAAGCTTCTCTAGCCTTTCCGGCTGCTTGGTGGCTGTCCCCAGAGACTAAGCACAGGATCTGTAGCTTCCAGTGGCCCCAACATGTCCTCCCTGAAGTCCCGACATGTCCTCTGGGTTTGGAGGTAAACTTCCAGGGCCACGAGAACTAAGGGGAAGAAGGTCGTAAGACAAGAAGAGTAGTCATAGGAGGGTGTGAGGAGCTGTGGCCCTGGGGTTTGTGGGAAGCAAGCAGCAATAGGAAACGGCCAGACGTCGTGTGGGGTGGGGATGTGGAAAGCAGGGGAGGCCTTGGAGGGGTCCTGAGTGGCCAAGGGGAAGAAGCCCTGCCATTCAGTGAGCAGAAGCAGGGACCTGAGCTGGCAGAGAACAAGGTGTTCGGCCGGGGAAGGGGCCAGTCAAGAGCTGCTGGGCCGGCAGGGCGGGAGGCTGGCACAGGTTGGAAGCTGGCTGCGGCTGACTCTTCCCCGGGGACCCGCGGTGAGGTGGAGCATCCAGGAGTGAGAGCCAAGCTGCCGCAGCACAGCATTGCCGCTTGCCAGCCTTACCTCAGCACCAGCCCTTCACCTGCCCATGCCTTCACTTCCTGTGCTAGAGGACATGCCACCTCAGGCTGTCCTAGGAAACTTTCAGGAATCGGGCGCTGGAATTCTTGTGTTCAAAGAGCCGTTCATTCCTGTCTTGAACCACCTACCTCATGTCGGACGCTGCGTCCTGTTGTGAGGGTAGGGGTGCTGTGGGTCCAGCCCTGGAGCACCCAGGCTAATCCAGGAGGCAAGCGCAGGCCAGGCGGTCTCAGGCAGTTTGACGGGACTGCGGCCAGTTGAGGGAGATGGAGAACTTCTTTGGGGGGTGGCTGGCTGTGCTTGGCATGCAGGCCCCTCACCTCCGTGCCCCCCTCCCTCCATCCCTGCAGCTGAAGGCACCCGGTGCACCGACCCGCCTGCAGGCAAGCCTCCGATGGCAGCCAAGCGCAAAGGCGGCCTGAAGCTCAACGCCATCTGTGCCAAGCTGAGCCGACAGGTGGTCGTGGAGAAGGGGGCGGAGGCTGGCTCCCAAGCCGAAGGTAGCCCACTGCGTCCCAGGGACAGAGAGCGCAGTGGCCCTGAGTCTGGGGTGACCCGGGCTCCCCGGAGCGAAGAAGACAAGAGGCGGGCAGTGATCGAGAAATGGGTCAATGGGGAATACAGCGAAGAGCCCACGCCCACGCCAGTGTTGGGCCGCATCGCCCGTGAGGGCCTGGAGCTGCCCCCCCGAGGGCGTCTACATGGTCCAGCCACAGGGCTGCAGCGACGAGGAAGACCACGCAGAGGAGCCCTCCAAGAACAGCAGCGCGCTGGAGGAGAAGGACTCGGGTGGCACAGCGTCGAAAGGCGACGGCGGCCCCGGTGCCAAGCAGGCTTCAGGTGTGTGTTTGGCCATTGGGGGGGGTGAGGGGGCGGGGCCTGAAGGCTGGAAAAAAGAGAGGCCCAGGAGGCACAGGCGGTATAAGGGAATTCTCCCTTATCCCTCCGGACGAACTGGTGGTACCTTATCCAGCCTAGCGAGAACTGGGGAGATGGGGTGGGGAGGAGGCGGGACAGAGTTGGCAGCCTCCTGAGTGAGCAGGGCCTCGGGGAGCGGCTCGCAGTGGGCTTTGAGAGGATGCGCTGTGGGCGTGTGCGCAGACGGACAGACCGGACAGACGAATGAGCAGATGGCGGGTGTGTAGGTAATCGCACACCTCTGCAGAGGGGCGAGTCTGTTTGGGGGCCATGGTACCTGACCACGGTATGGGAACCAATGGGGTTGTGGCAGTGGTAGCGTGAGCAGCATGAGTTCTCATCTCTAGGTCCTCTCTTGGTAGCTTAATGAGATGTCTAGAAAGGGCTTTGGGCTCCCACCCACCCTCTCTTTTACCTGTGTCCCATCCTGCCCTATGAGGCAGGGTGTCTTTCTCAGAGTCCATGGCTCAGTTCAGCCAGCAGGTGCTCTCAACATGCAGCTGCCCTGGACATGCTCCTCTGGCCGACCTGTTCCCCACAAGACGCTGGAGGCCTGGCTTCATCAGTGCCTCCTTGTGCTTAGGACACAGCACCTTCCCGGAACAGGGAAGGCTTGGCTTGGCATTTCAGATAGGAGAGGGGTCTCCTCTTGGACCGGAGCCCTGAGACCTTGGGCCTTGGCTCTAGTCCCTAGTCTCCTTCCTAGGCTTATTCCTGGAGCCCTGCACCTCCCCTTCCTGCTCCCCTGTCCCCTTCCCCCTGCAGCGAGGGGAGCATCTCCTCCCAGTGCGGGGAGCCCTGCGCAGCCACATAATTATGCATATAAGATATAAACAGAGCTGTTTAATTATCCTTCGCCACATCAGTGACAGAGTAATTAACAAACATTGCAAGATCAATGAGGAAAAGTGTGACCTTCAGTTTCCTCTGATAGGAAAAGCCCTTGCTGTTGCCAGACACAAGGTGATTGTGCTGGGCCTGTGGAGAGGAGAGGAGAGGAGAGGAGAGGAGAGGAGAGGAGAGGAGAGGAGAGGAGAGGAGAGGAGAGGAGAGGAGAGGAGAGGAGAGGAGAGGAGAGGAGAGGGCTGCTGTCCTCTTAACATCCTCACCCCACACCCAACTCCACCCATGGCCAGGGCCATCAGTACATCAGTAGTAGTCTCCTCCAACCTTCTTCCCATCCTCCCGGGAGTTGGGAGCTATGGGGAGTTGGGAGCTGTGAAGGCAGGAGCAGGGTGTGGACTGTTACATCTGCTGCCCGCAGGCCTCTGGCCTGGCCTCCTCTCAGCCCCAAGCACTGAGTCTTTAGCCCAAGCCTCGTCTGCCCACCATGGGTTTGGCTGCCCAGGACTTTGACTGTCTGTGGGACCCCCGCTGGCCCCCTCCCGAGCAATGCTGCCTGCCCTTCAGAGCCCTCTATCTCTCTGCCATATATAGTGAGGCCCCAGCTGCCTGTAGCTATTTTTAGCACTTTTTTCCTGGTCCCTGAGCCACTTCATCCAGCAATCAGAGCCCACTCCCAGGCCAGCCCCCAACCTGTGTGCCTGGAGCTCGGGCTTGTGGCCCGTGCTGACCATCAGCAGGCCAAGGCAATTGTCTGTGAGCTCCTTGAGTTACTCTGGGTGTCAGGGGCATGTCTGACTGTCCTCCTCCATGCCTAGTGGGGTCCCACTGTCCCCATGATGGTTCAGAACCCCTCCTTCCACACCCTGCTGGGCTCTCTCTCCTCCTAAGGTACACTGCTTCCCTTTTGCTGTGCTCTGAGACTCCTAGAGCTGGCGGGATTGGAGGGAGTCAGGAGTCCCCCCTGGTCATGCCTTCCTTCTCCTGGCTGTGTTCTTAGGAACTCCAGCCTGGAGCCTGGTAGCTTTGAGTGTGCTCAGGTGGGGAGAGCGGGAGAGAAGGTAAAAGAGGGGCGTCCCTGGGCGGCTGCTCCATCTCACTTGCCCGTGTGTACCTGGCCTGCATGCTGGGTCCGCGGTAGGTGTGCAGCAGGGGTTTGGTGGAGACATGAATGAGCTTGTGTGTGTTGGGGACCGTCCACCTGCTGTGGTGACAGGCTGTGTATGGAAGAGGTAATATGAGAGGCTCACGTCCTCCAGCCCTGCTGAGGCTCGTCCCGGGGCACTGGGTGTGGGGCCTGAGGGGTTGTGCATGCGTGTATCTGTAGACTGGGGAAAGTATCTGGAATATGAGTTTAGTGTGTATGTGAATGTGGGTACATGATTGTGGGTATGCGTACAAGCGTGGTGTATGAGAGTGTGTCTACTATAGATGTGTATATGTGTACATGTGTTGTTTGTATGTGTGTGTGTGTCTACTATAGATGTGTATATGTGTATATGTGTATATGTGTAAATGTGTTGTTTGTATGTATGTGTGTGTGTGTGTGTGTGTGTATGTATGTGTCCTTATGTGAGGGAGAGAGAGACAGGGAGGGAGAGATAGAGAGAGACAGAGAGGGAGAGGGAGGGAGGGAGGGAAGGAGGGGCAGAGAGAGGAATTCTCTGAGTGTCGGTAGGGATGGTGGTGAGGATGGACACTCTTCCCTCAGTCCTGTTACTCCGGATCTAGGAGGGCTCTGATCCTCGCTGTCCCAAGTAACCCACCCTTATATACGGGCAGAGGATCTGCAGGGTGACCAGGAGGTTTGAAGGACTTGTCCTTGATACAAATTCTAGCTGGAGTGGTGGTGGTGGTGGGCACTGACTGAGTCTGAGTAGACACACTGACATAGTCCCTGCCTCTGCTCAGCTCTGTTATTGGGGGAAAGTTTGAAGGGGTCAGGTTCTAAGGCGTCTGAAGCCGCGCTACTCATCTGCCCCGGGCAGAGGCATTAGGCACGATGCCCCGGCCAGGCAGACCTCAGTCGCCCACTCACAGTGCCTCCCTGTGCTTAGGGGTCCTTCCTAGCTGTCTAGTTAGTGGTCCCCAACCCTACCTGTTCCGTTCCTCGTGACCACTGCCCCCCCTCAGGAGGCAGGTTGGGATCTCGCCTTACTTCCAGTAAAATGGCTCCTGTCTCATATTAGGCCAAGGCGAGAGAGCGGAGACATTTATGAAACTTTGTTTAATGTACTGAAAAGCCATCGGCCAGAACATTTAGGAAATTGATTTTCCTGGCATTGATGAACTCGTTTTATTTTACCCCAGTATTAATTACTTTTTTTTAAAACAAATTAATTTAAGAGTCGTAAAACCTAACAAGTGAGCCAAATGTCCATAGATCATGTCCTGCTCCGCCCCTCCCTACACGAGTCCCCTCCCTCCGTGGGTGGGGGCTCAAGGTGGAGGGGTTTCTCATTGCCCTGCTTCCTCCCAGAAATGACGCACCCCTGTCTCCCCCTGTAGGAGAAGCCTCCTCTCTGAGGGACTACGCTGCCTCCACCATGACGGAGTTCCTCGGCATGTTCGGCTATGATGACCAGAACACGAGGGACGAGCTGACCAGAAAGCTCAGTTTTGAGAAGCTCCATGCAGGCTCCACCCCGGAGGCGGCTTCCTCTTCCATGGTGCCCACCTCCGAGGACGCCCTCAGCAAGCGGGCACGTTTCTCCAAATACGAGGAATACATCCGTAAACTCAAGGCCGGCGAGCAGCTTCCCTGGCCAGCCCATGGCAGCAAGGCTGAGGATCGGGCAGGCAAGGAGGCGGTGGGCCCCTTGCCCAGCCTGCGGCTACCCAGCAACACTGCCCACCTGGAAACCAAGGCCACCATCTTGCCGCTGCCGTCACACAGCAGTGTCCAGATGCAGAACCTGGTGGCCCGCGCTTCCAAGTACGACTTCTTCATCCACAAGCTGAAGACGGGTGAGACCCTGAGGCCTCAGAATGGAAACACATACAAGAAGCCGTCCAAGTACGACCTGGAGAACGTCAAGTATCTGCACCTCTTCAAGCCGGGGGAGGGCAGCCCTGACATGGGCGGGGCCATCGCCTTCAAGACAGGCAAGGTGGGCCGCCCCTCCAAGTACGACGTCCGGGGCATCCAGAAGCCGGGCCCTACCAAGGTTCCGCCCGCCCCCGGCCTGGGTTCTGCGCCCCTCACCAGTGTGCCCAGCGCTCCCAGCGCCCCTGGGCCAGGACCTGAGCCACCTGCCTCCCTGTCCTTCAACACTCCCGAGTACCTGAAGTCAACCTTTTCCAAAACAGACTCCATCACCACGGGAACTGTCTCCACTGTCAAGTAAGGAGCCCCCTGCCCCACCCCCACTGCCTCCATGAACCCTGGGGCCGGACAGGATGGGGAGGTCCCACCTCCTTACCTGCAAAGCTTACTGTGGTGGACAGAGCCCCTTGCGCAACTTAGATTGCCACGTATGTGAACACCTGCACGCATGCGCACGTGAACATACGTGCTCTTGCACCGACCTCAGACCTGCGTATGACACGCCTCCTACGTACCGGCACCCTGCCACACGCCACACACCCTCTGTGCCTTCCTCACTCACTAACCTCTGCTGCCATGACCTCTGCCCTCTGCCCTCTGCCTCAAGGGCTGAATGCAGGTTGTGGTTGGTCGAAACAACTCACTCTGGGGTTGGGATGGGAACTGGGGTCCAGGCTGTGGCCCTGGCTTCTGGTTCAGAGCCTGGTCCATGGAAAAGGCAGGAAGTCAGGTGGGGGTCAGGTGGCAACCGTATCCCAGGGATGGAAGACTGGCCTGGGTGATAAAGCAATAGGCCTTGTGAGGCCATATGACACCCTTCCCTCAAGCTGTTTCCTTTGCTACAGCAGCTTGGGGCCTGCAGGTCCTGGAGGCTGTGAACCAGGCAGATCCAGTCGGAACGCTATGGTTGAGAGTGGGGAGTTGAATACCTGTACCCTATACACGTGTCCAGTGCTGTCCTTCTCCTCTGCCCCCTCTCTGCTGTCTGGTGTTTCTCCTCAGCCATTACCCTGCCTATTTTCACTGTGTCTCAGGCCCTGGTTTCCACCCAGGCTAACTGTAGGCCTGGGTGGGCCTTCCTGCCCCACCTGCTCAGGATAGTACACTCCTGTCAGAGGTGGCTAACTGAGCACCTCTGGGCCTCTGCCAACACACTTTTGCAGTACCAGCCTGAGGGCCCAGGGTGATACAGGCCGCAGGAGAGAGGAACCAGGGCCCAGGGCAGGGAGTTACCCATCAGACGCTCCTGGGGCCTGAGGCCACCCCCATCCGCTAATCGGCTGTGCCCTGTGTGTCTTACCAGGAACGGATTGCCCACAGATAAACCAGCTGTCACCGAAGATGTAAACATTTACCAGAAATATATTGCCAGGTAGGCCTCTGGGGAGGAGCCTGTGGACAGAGGTGGGGTGGGGGGGACAGGGGAAAGCCAGGCATGGGACCACCTGTGTATTAGCTCGTCCCTAAGGCCAAGGGGCTGCCTTCTCCACATCTCTTTTCTCTCTGTCTTTCACCTCCCCAGAGGGGCCGCTCCTGGGTCCATCTTAGACCCCCCCTTTTTTTGGTAGTGCAGGCCACACAGTCCACAGGCAACTTCCAACCCAGGTAGGGCTGTAGGAAAAGGCTTGGTACCAGGCCTGCCACGGGTGAGCATGGGGTCCCCTCTACGGCCTTGGGTAGAGTGCAGACCACGGTAGAGCTGCTGGGGTTGAGGGACATAGGCGGTCGGTCTCCTTCGGCAATGGCCTGCACGGATCCCCCCTGGAGGGGGCGTGGGGGGGTGCGGGGAGGGGAGGGGGGATTCTGATGAAGCCTGAATTTAGATCCACCCCGAAGGAGGCAGAGTCAGCAGATGAAGATCCATCCCCATGCATTCCCCAGATCAAGCCTCCCGAGGGCCATGTGGCGGGGGTCGTGCCCTGGCGGCATCTGTCTCCCCGTGGTCCTCCATGCTCTGTCTTCCCTTTATTGTCATCGCTGTCATTACTATTAGTGCCTAGGCAGATGGCCCTTTGGCAGTTCCCTTCTCCCCGCCCATGCCGTGCGTGTGTCACCCATGCAGGGGGATAGGCCTTCCCCAGGGCTGTCATGGCTGGCTTTCCCCAGAGTGGCTGGCCCTGTCTGGCCATCACCAAGGCTGTGAGAGCCGCACCCTAGCACATCCAGGCTCGGAGAGGGGCCATTCAGTGGCCGGCGGTCCAGGGCTCCTGGCCGGGCACTTGGCTGAAAAGTGAGCTCCCTGCCTCTGGAAGCCAGACAGATGCCGTGCTTTAAAAATTCATAACTCTGGACTGTTTCAAGTGTCAGGAAAAGCCCAGAACAGAGAGAGAGAGCCTTCAACACCTCGTACAGCATCCCAGAGTTGGCCCAGCCAGGGGCCCCTCCCTGGTCAGAGCTGGCAGGGAGGTGGGGGTGGGGGGCTGGTCAGGCCACTGCTTTCCAAAGTGTGGAGCTCTAGGTCCCCTCTCTGCTCTGTCTCTTACTCTGATTTGAGGCTGTCCCCACCGGAGTCCCAACCTCTGCTCCATCTGGCACTGCTTTCCCGGCAGTCTCTGGCAGTTAGGTGGTGTGGTAGGCCTGGGCTTCCCGACCTCTGCCATTTCACCCTTGTCTCTATAAATCACCCAGGCCCTCTAAACCCCAGAAGAACATCTTTGGGGGCTAGGCAGAAATAGCTGTCCAGACCTGGGATCTAGAAGAGTCCTTTCAGGGACTGGCACCCCGAGATGGGTCTGACCCTCTTGCTCCTCTGCAGGTTCTCAGGGAGTCAACACTGCGGCCATATCCATTGCGCCTACCAGTACCGAGAGCATTATCACTGCCTGGACCCAGAGTGCAACTACCAGGTATGGGCCCCGCGTGGCTCACCCGCCAGCACAGCCTTCTGCTGGGAGTGGGTGGGGGCAGGAGGGTCCCTCCGTTAGCCACCTGCATTAATGCATGGAGAGGCTGAGAGCACAGACCAGCTGTCTGCATTCCAACGCTCCCGCTACGCAGGCAACCAATGGGGTCTGCAGCAGCCATTGACGTCTGAGTGGCGCTAATCCCAGCCCCCTTTCACTGGGAGCCTGCCACGGATGAAGGCTGTACCCACTGGTCTGCCTCCCTTAGTTGGACCGGTCTTCCCAGGACTTTCAGGGGTTGGTCTTACTGCTTCATTTTCAAGATGAGATGCTGAGGTCACATCTTCAGCGCTACCGGCAAAGCGGAACCATCGAGAGGTAGCGCTGGGCCGCCTGCGCGGTCTTCTCCCTCTGAGTTGCCTAACTCAGCCTGTGCGCTGAGCACTAGGCGGAACGTGTCGTCACCCACCAGAGCCCTGGCCTTCAAGGCTAGTCCAGGGCACCTTTATGCTCCTGGGTGTGGCCATTGGGAGCCTCGGGAGAGGACAGGGAAGGGACTGTGGTTTCTGCGTCTTTGGAATCATTCCCGCCAAGGGCCAGTGTGCCCGGAACTGACTGGGCAGTCTGGGCTGCCTCGGTCCTTAGCAGGGTTTTATATATAGGGTGACCCAAGGGCCTTGGGGCCAGCCCTGGCCCAAGTGCTCTTGGCACATGGACTGGGGGCACGGGCTTCAGCCAACTTGGTGCTTTTTCCTGGCAGAGGTTCACAAGCAAGCAGGACGTGATCCGACATTACAACATGCACAAGAAGCGGGACAACTCCCTGCAGCACGGCTTCATGCGCTTCAGCCCGCTGGACGACTGCAGTGTCTACTACCACGGCTGCCACCTCAATGGGAAGAGCACCCACTACCACTGCATGCAGGTGCCTGCTCGTGCCAGCAGCCTGGGGCTTCTAGAACCTTCCTTCTAGTCCTCTACTCCAGGAGCAGGACTGCCCCAGCAGGCAGGAGCCTGACTGGTCAGGACCCTCCTTTTCTCTCGGCCCAGGATAGGGGTGACTGACTCCTGGAGTCCCAGAAGCTCAGGGGTCGGCAGTGTCTGGTGGCCAGGGTGGGGCCTTCCCTGTTGCCATACTTGGTGTGGGGGAAATTCAGTGAGCTGTTTATATAGACGGACATTTTTTTGGGCTTTAACACCAAGAGCAGCATTGCAAATGATTCCTGCAGAGGTTTTTGTTTAATTCTTTGTTTTAATGCCACACTGAGTCTGGGCTTTTTCAAGGTGTCAAGTCCAGGAGGAGCAACTTTGGGTTGCAAATAGCAGCCTGCATGCCTCCCCTGTATTTGTCAGAGGTTGTTATGGCCTCTGTGAAACAACCTGGTGCGGGGAGAGGGGGGCCACCCTCTGGGCCTGAGATGGTGCAGACCCTGGCACGGGCCAGCCTTCAAGGGCGCTCACAGACGCTGCTTTTTACTCAATATGGCAACGTTGCCTGCCCGGCCCAGCTGCAGTGGGTGGGAGGGCCTCGTGCCCAGGAGCCATCCGCTAAGGGAGTCCCAGAGCTAAAGGTGACCTCCAGGGTCCAGCCCTTGTCCAATCCTAAGGCTTTAGAGACAGAGCCACCAACTAGGACCCCAAACTTCATTTCTCCAGAAGGTGGGACCCTCATCTGGGCCTGAAAGTATATTGGGTCCGAAGACAGTCCAATACTCTGTAGACAGATGCCCATCACTCCCGGAGAAGGCTGGGGTGGTGGGTGGTGGTGGGGTCGCTGGAGGCTTTCTTTGCTTAGATCCTGGGTTAGCCTGAGGAGTTTGAGGTTTGGAGGTGCCGAGCTCCCCTGAGCAGAGCCCCCACGGCCCTGTCTCCGGCCACACCCCTGAGCTTGGCTGCCCCAGGAGGACAGACTTACACCCCTTGACCACATTGTGGCCTGTGCAGGTGGGGTGTAACAAGGTGTACACAAGCACCTCGGATGTGATGACCCACGAGAACTTCCATAAGAAGAACACCCAGCTCATCAATGACGGCTTCCAGCGCTTCCGAGCCACTGAGGACTGCGGCACGGCTGACTGCCAGTTCTATGGACAGAAGACCACACACTTCCACTGCAGGTGAGCGAGCGGCCCACCAAGGGCCAGGAGAGGAGGCACCGGCAGGGGAGTAGGCCCGTGGGTCACCAGGGCCTTGCTCCCCCTGGGAGTGCTCGGGGCTGCTTACTGTCCCCAGCCTTGGTGTCCAGCCTGAGTCTTCCCCCGAGGGGACCGTTCCTTCCAGAGCGGGGGAACGCTCCTGTGGGCCCCTGTGTCAAGTCTCCTCGTGCCCCCTGCAGGCGCCCTGGCTGCACGTTCACCTTCAAGAACAAGTGTGACATCGAGAAACACAAGAGCTACCACATCAAGGATGACGCCTACGCCAAGGACGGCTTTAAGAAGTTCTACAAATACGAGGAGTGCAAGTACGAGGGCTGTGTGTACAGCAAGGCCACCAACCACTTCCACTGCATCCGCGCCGGCTGCGGCTTCACCTTCACCTCCACCAGCCAGATGACGTCACACAAGCGCAAGCACGAGCGCAGGCACATCCGCTCCTCGGGCGCCCTGGGGTTGCCGGCCTCGCTGCTGGGCGCCAAGGACACGGAGCACGAGGAGTCCAGCAACGACGACCTCGTGGACTTCTCTGCCCTGAGCAGCAAGAACTCCAGCCTGAGCGCCTCCCCCACCAGCCAGCAGTCTTCTGCGTCCCTGGCCGCCGCTGCCTCTGCCACTACCGCCGAGGCCGTACCCGGTGCCGCCAAGCCTCCCAGTAGCAAGATGGCAGGCCTGCTGCCCCAGGGCCTGTCTGGTTCCATTCCCCTGGCACTGGCCCTCTCCAACTCAGGCCTACCCACAACCGCACCCTACTTCCCTCTCCTCCCTGGCCGGGGGAGCACCTCACTACCTGTGGGATCTCCAGGGCTCCTGGGCGCCATGTCCTCTGTGGCCACAACTTCAGCGACCCCTGACATGCCAGCTCTGGTGGCTTCCGGAGCGGGAGACTCAGCCCCCACGGCTGCCTCCTCTCTCCCAGTGCCCCCTGCCTCCATCATGGAAAGGATCTCCGCGAGCAAAGGCCTCATCTCACCCATGATGGCTCGACTGGCCGCGGCCGCCCTCAAACCCTCTGCCACCTTTGACCCAGGTGAGCAGGCTGGGCCCTGCCCAGCAAGCGAGCGCACTTGGACACTGGTAACTGCCAGTACTCAGACTGAAGAGCACGGGGCAGGCGGGGAAGAGCGTCTGCCCGGCTCATTCGCCCGTCTCTCTCACCCAGCAACGCTTTCTCTCTGCCTGGTCTCTGTCTCCATCCTGCTCATTTTCTCCTTGGGGGGGTTCCCTCGTTTTTCCCCACACACCCAGGGACTTTTCTATTTGTGGAGAGGGTCAGTAGTCCCTGTCTCTGAACACTTGGGTGTCCTGGTGGCTCCAGGTCTCACTGGCTCTGTCACCCATGAGTCCCTGGTCAGAGCTATCCCAGGCCCCCTGTTCCCTTGGGTCTTCTCGAGCTGACACAGAACATGAGCCAGGGGATGGGTATTTGCATCCTATAGAGGGACAGCATCCCCAGGCCAAGAGATGACTCTCAGACTTCCCACCCCTTTCTCTTATTCCTTCCCTCCTTCTCTTCCTTTCCTTTGGGAGGTTGTTTTTTGTCTTTTTTTCCATGTCACTCTCCCTCAGAGCGTAGTCAGTGCCAGTTGGATTCCTGGAAGGAGCTCAGCTCACACCTGGGATGCGGCTTCTTTCGCTCACCCACCAACCTCTGGTGCTTGCCCAGAGTGGCTCCATGGCTACTTGCTGAGCCGGATGCTGAGGACAGAGACAGAAGCTCCACCCTGTGGAGCTGTTGGCGCAGGGACAGATCCCCCCCCCCGGGCGTATCCTCAGCAGCCTGACTGCCCAGCTTTCACGCTCTGCTCCCATCCAAAACCATCTCAGAATCAGCCGAGACTGCGGGTCCCTTCCACCCACAGGGGACCCAGATCCCACCCCATGGGGATGCTAGGTGGGGAAGAGACCTGAGCTTTTTCTCTGGAGCCTGGGGTGGGTGACTCAAGGAGCCAGTGTAGTGTAGACTCCCGAGGACTAGAAGTCCTCACCGTTCCCAGCGAGAGGCTCTTGGCCCGGTCTGGAACCCTGTCTTCCACTCCAAGTTTGGGAGGAGCTTGCTGTAGTACATTCCTCCAGCCAGTGGCCGGCAGGTAGGGCCACAGAAGACTGCAGCTAGACTGCCAGGCTATTTCTTTTCCCTAGGAAATTTTCTCCCCTCTTCCTTTTCCCCTCCCCCAGCAAAGGAAGGTCAGGTAAAGGTGAGGGGGGCTGTTTCTCTTTGTTTTTAATAAAATGTCACTCTCTGTCTGTGGAGCAGCTCTCTGTAAGCTGTAGTGCCTTGGGGCAAATTAGTATTTCAGTCACTTGGGGACTGTGGAGCAAGGCTCCATGGACACCCTCCTGTCAGCAACTTCCTCTGCCCCTGCCCTGCCAGCCTCCTGTGGCCTCTTCCCGCCAAGCTCCCCCTCATACCCAGCCAGGCACCCCGTGCGGGCGGGCCGGGCCGGGAGTCTCTGCCCTGGACAGCTTGACAGACAGACGAGGTCACATAGATTGAACCACCCTGATTGGCCGTCAGCCCTGATAGCCCTGACACAGCAGATGCCCTCCTCAGGCATGCTCAGTGCAGACAGGGTTGTCGCCTGGGCAACAGTGGGCAGGGACTACGGAGGGGCCGCTCCCAGTCCAGATCTGCCACTTTCCCTCAGCATTAACAGAGTCTTTAATAAAAGCTTAAGCGGCAGCCCCACAAATCGACTCTGACAGTTGTTGGAGGAAATGAAAGGCCCGTGTCCCCACCCAGGCCCCCTCCCCAGCCTCCCACCCTCCTCCTCCAGGAGGCCCTAAGCCAGGACAACTTTGACATAATTTTGCAATAATTATCATTTGAAGAATCGCCACACAGGGGTACGCGTCACAAGTGATCACATCAGCCGGAAGACTCGCTGACCAGCAGCTTGTCCTCCTGGGGGACCCCCCCGGACGATTCGGCCCACTGCCCTTCCTTCAGGGGTGGGGGGGCGGCGGCACCAGACTTTGGTGCCTGTGTGAAACCTGAGCCCCTCTGACCCCATGTTCCCTCCACTGCAGGAAGTGGGCAGCAGCCCACCCCCAGCAAGTTCCCCCAGGCCCAGGTGAAGCAGGAAGCAGGTGACAGCACTGCCACCCCAGGCCCCCACGAGGCCTCCCAAGATCGCAGTCTAGACCTGACTGTGAAGGAGCCCAGGTGAGGCGTCCTGGAGGAGCTGGCCTGGGCTCCAGAGAGGTGGCACGGGGCTGCATCCTCAGCCGGCCCTGGGGACCCGAGTTCACCCTCGTGTCCACGGTTCACTCTGCCACCGAGCAGAGTCAAGGCCCCGAAGCCCGGGCTGGATGGCTGGGAGGGAAGGGCCTCTGGGCCTGGCCCCGTGGATGTCTGACTTGAAGCCCCTTGGTCTGTGTGTTCTAGCAATGAATCAAATGGCCATGCAGTCCCGGCAAATTCATCTCTTTTATCCTCGCTTATGAATAAGGTAAGAACCATCCACCACACGCCTCCCATCCCCCACCCAGAGAAATTAAAGCTGTGCTGGGGGGCTGGGGGGATGTGTTTGTTTTTTAATGTTTTCCCTCTAATAAGATGAGTTTGTACCATTTAAATTTTGAGGCCATTTTTCATCGAATATAATTTCAGAGCCACTGCTTACAAATTAATTTAATGAACTGGCTGAAGAAATATATTTCAGCCCCTGACACCATTTTTTCCCCTTCGGATGGAGGGCTCCAAAAGCTTTTCCAGAACCCTCCAACTTCTCCGGCCCTCAGTTATTAATGTTATTTATTTATTTTATATATTTTTGTTTGTTTAAAAAGGGGTGGGGGAGGGAAATCGAAAGTGAGGGCAGGGCATCAATTTCCACTTTTCGGCTTGAGTAATGGTTTCGGACGCCTTCCGGAGAGGTCGCTCCAGAACATTTGTTTTAAATAATGCAGGGTCTTTGTAAATTATACATCATCTCAAATATATTTTCCCCTTCACATGATAAATTTGACTGCAGCAAGATTAATTTGGTTACTGTACACAAGTGACTGGGTTGAAGAGGGAGCTGGGTCCGAGCTGGACCTCATGTGGAGGGTGGGTTCCAGCTGGGCACCAGTGGTGCAGCAGCTCAGGCTTCGGGGCCTGCTGCCTGCCCTCTCCTGGTCGCTCCCTTGCTGTCCTTTGCCCTCCTCTGGTCACCGCCCCCCCCAGAAGCCCACCAGCCTTCCTGCCACATTAGCAATCTGTTGCTATGTCCCTCCGTTGGGTGGCTTTTGTTCTCAAGAAATTCATAGCATTGCCCCCCCCCACACACACACTCCTGCATTTCTTTTGGATACCTTCTGGAAGGAGAACCATCAGGCAGTGGTTAAGTCTAGGGAAAGACGGACCTCAGCTTGAATGATGGCTCCCCAGCAGGCTAGCCTGCTGCCTGAGGCCCTGCCTCCAGGGGGCCAGAGCCACGCGGAGGTCTTTCCAGTGGGGCCTCCTCTCTAGCCAGGGCCAACGGGCAATGTGTGTTCTCTGCCCCCAGCGCCACAGGGCTCAGGCTGGCAGGCGGGAGGACAGGCATTGTCTGTCCCCGGGGTCCCGGGCACCAAGCACACGTCTGTCCTTGCAGATGTCTCAGGGCAACCCAAGCCTGGGAAACCTGCTGAACATCAAGGCAGACTCGGAGGGGAGCCCCGCTGTGGAGCCCTCGCCTTTCTTGGGCAAGGCTGTGAAGACCCTGGTTCAAGAGAAGTTGTCAGAGCCCTGGAAGGTGTATCTCCGCAGGTGAGGGGTCTGCAGAGGAGGGTGCGGGGGGGGGGCACACAGAGGGTCTTGCTGTCACCCACCCTGGTGGTCAGGGCCCATCTCTGACAGAGGCCCTCTGACTAGGTTTGGTACCAAGGACTTCTGCGATGCCCAGTGTGACTTCCTCCACAAGGCCCATTTCCACTGCGTGGTGGAGGAATGCGGGGCGCTTTTCAGCACCCTGGACGGGGCCATCAAGCATGCGAAGTGAGTGAGGGTCTGGGGGGCGGAGAGGGTGGGGTGGTCCTTGAGTGGCACTTCCCTCCGAGCAACATCCCAGTGCAGATGTCACCGGGCCACAGACCTGGCTTCGCCACAGGCGCTACCGAGGCTTCCCTCCCTCCTGCATGTAGCCTAGAGCACCAGCTACCTGCCGGAACCAGTGGGGGCCAGCAGCCCCGCACAGGTGCCCCCTGAAGAGTGTTTAGAGCAGCCAGAGCCCAGCTAGACTTGGTTTGGATCCGGGGTGGGGCTTCTGAATGGAGGCCTTTCTAGCAACATGTGAGACCTTTATGTCTCCTTTGACCTAGTGAATGGCAGTGACTTTGATTTCCGTAGAGTTAAAAAGCGGCGGCGGCCAGCGAGGCCTGTAGCAGTGCTCAGTGCACCTCCAGGCCCCGTGTCAGGCTTCACTTCCTGCACTAGAGCCCACCAAACACTGAGAGTCCTCCACCCTGGGAACCTCTTGAAGGGAGGGGCCTGGCGAGACACAGTCCCGATGTAGGGAGGAGCTCAGAACTCAAGCCATCAATGTAAAGATGGGGTCAGGGTGTAGCCCAGGTTCAGAATGACAGTGGACCCATAGTCTGTTCCTCTGCTCGTGGAAGGTTATGGGAGACCTCCAGAGTCCATGGTGGGAATGAGGTAGGGATACTAGGCTCCTGAGTTACGGTAAGGTCACATGAGGTGACAGGCATGCTTAGACGGAGAAGGACCGACCTGGCAGTGTGATTGATGTCCTGAGACACCTTCTTCTGCCTCTCATAGCTTTCACTTCCGGACGGAGGGAGGAGCAGCCAAGGGAACTACAGAGGCTTCCTTCCCAGCCTCTGCCGCCGAGACCAAACCTCCCTTGGCGCCCTCGTCCCCGCCAGCACCTCCTGGCACCATGGTCCCTGGATCTTCTCTGGAGGGGCCCACTCCCAGCCCAGTCTCTGTGCCCTCCACCCCCACCCTGCTCGCCTGGAAGCAGCTGGCTTCCACGATACCCCAGATGCCTCAGATCCCCTCGTCAGTGCCTCACCTGCCCTCCTCGCCCCTGGCGACGACGTCTCTAGAGAGCGCCAAGCCTCAGGTCAAACCCGGGTTCCTCCAGTTCCAGGACAAGTGAGTCCCTCCATGAGCCGGCACCTGCCCCTGTGTCTTGGGAGTGGGTGTAGCTGGGGCAGGAAGGAGGCCCTGCCCCTCACCCTACAGAGGTACACTGCTGTCCCCAGCCTCTGGGACGTAGCCATCCAGCTGTACACTTGTGCTGAGCAGCCAGTGGGTGGGGGGTGAGGGTGTAAGTGGCCTTAGCTCCTGTGGTCCGTGGAGGTCCTGCAAGGACTGGCGGGGTGCACTAGGTACAGGGGTTCCTCGGGAAGTTTCCTGGTCCTATGGAAAGGCTGCGTTCCCTCTGGGCCACCTTATTGGCCCACCCTGTGGTGCAAACCCATGCTGGGTCACTAGGGAATGGAAGTCATGGGTGGGAACAGGGCCTAGGCCCCTCCAGACCCACACAGTGGTCAGGGGTGGAAGGGACTTTCTTCACTTAATGGTGGTGGCTTCTTGCGGCGAGAACGGTGACTTTGTATCATAAAGTGTGTGGCTTCCTGTTCTCAATAAAAAGTAATAAATTTGGATTATTTATACCACCGGAGTAACAGCTGTCCTCCCTCTCTGAGCACCTGGGGCTGGGCCCATGGCATGGAAGGGTACAGGGCTCTTTTGTCCCTCTCCTGTCCCCTGTACTCCCCTCCCTTCCCTGATATGGTTAGCTTCCTTAGTCTCCAGAGCCTGGCCAGAGTTCCCACTGTGGGTCTCCGTACAGCCCTCTGTAGCCCGGGGTCTCCAGCCACGGCTGCAGCTCCCTGGCACTCAGCCCTGGTAGACACTAGCGGGTGGCCCAGCTCTTCCCCATCGTCAACACCTCCGCCAGCCCCAATCCCGCCCCAGGTTCCAGGGTTCTCTGGGTAAGCAGGCACTGTAGGCCCCAGTTGACCCTGGGGTGTCCTGGCAGCCGTGAGCCTTAGCAGGAACTGACACCAGGCACATGTTATCACCTGCTCACACCCCACAGTAGGGCTGCCCACCCATCTGTAGTCTGTCAGTCAGCTCCATCCAGAGCAGTGCCATCTCTTACCAGCCAAGCTCTTTCGGGCATCCAGCCAGGACTGGCGGCACCATCCACTATTTTTATGCCCAAGAAGTTATTGCAGTCATCTTATCTCTAATCCTGGGGTGTGGCCTTGGAAACTACAAGTCCCAGCATGCACCGCTCTGAGCAACCTACATATGGCAATCCCCATGTACGGGGCAAGGGTTCCCAAAAGGAGACAGGGATGCATGCTGGGATCTGTAGTCTCTAACTGGATCATTCCGTTGAGCAGGAGGGTGACCCCCTGAATTCCCCTTGATTATACCCCCGGTGACTAAGGAAGGAGAACCCTAACTCAAACCAAGTGAAGACATTAGCGGGAGGGCTTGGGATGCCAATGACCTTGTGGGCTGTGGTTTCCTCCTAGCGATCCATGCCTGGCGACGGACTGCAAATATGCCAGCAAGTTCCACTTCCATTGTCTCTTTGGGAACTGCAAGTACGTCTGCAAGACCTCGGGCAAGGCTGAGTCCCACTGCCTGGACCACATCAACCCCAGCAACAGCCTGGTGAACGTGCGAGACCAGTTCGCTTACTACTCTCTGCAGTGTCTGTGTCCCAACCAGGTCAGTGAGGCGGGGCGGGGGAGGCCAAGGCCCAGGGCGAGCTCTTCCTGGCAGAGGCTGTACTTTTCACACCGTTTTTAAGTTGGCCTGCAGCAGACCCTGGAAAGGACACTCACTGCCTGTCCCCTGAGCCCCTAGAGACTCCTGGGCAGGGGTCCAGACTGATGCGTGGTTGGTGAGGGTTGTCATTTCAGGCCTAACTCCCAGTGGTGACTCAATGCCATCCCGGCCACTGCGTGCTTGACATCATTCATGCTCATCCTGGAATGAGCATGTCCCCTTTCCCCAGAGGCCTAGGGTTTTAAAATAGGCTCATTGGATAAAGAAATAGAATGGCCCACGCCCAGACAGAAAGGGCAGCTCAGGGCCACTTTAAAGGCCTGGTGCCGAGACTGCCCGAGTAGACACAGGTAAGGCTGTTACGGGTAGATTAGTGATGTCTGTGTAGGTTTGGGCATATACAGAGAGAGGAATGCTGGAGTAGACTAGTAATGTCTGATTAGGTCTGGTCATATAGGGACATACTTGAAAATAGATTAGTGATGTCTTCTCTAGATGTGGCATTATAGAAGAATGGCGAGATTACCCGGGTAGGACGTTTAAATAATGAAGTCACAAAGCGGATATGCTGCTTTTTATGCTGCTGTGTTTTTAAACTCTTGAGCACGGAAGAACACAGGTGCAAAGACCCTCCCAAGGCCCAGAGACAAGTAGGCGCTCATAGATGTCACCGCCCGTCCTGACACTCACCCCCCTGCCTCCCTACAGCACTGTGAGTTCCGGATGCGGGGACATTACCACTGCCTCCGGACGGGTTGCTACTTTGTCACCAACATCACCACCAAGCTTCCATGGCATATAAAGAAACACGAGAAAGCTGAGCGGCGGGCGGCCAATGGATTCAAATACTTCACCAAGCGTGAGGAGTGCGGGAGACCAGGTACCCGAGGCTGGGCGGGGCTGGGCAGGGGCTTCCAGCGGGTAGCGCTGCGGCTGTGATCTCCGGAGTCCTGATGGCGTGGGCCATCTTTCCAGGCACTCATTCCTGTCACTGCCACCACCCACAACCCCACGACCTGTGAGAGATGTCACAGATGTCATAGGTGTTGTCAAACTGGCGGTGAAGCATCTAGACACCCAGGAAGAGGGTGAGGGTGGCTCCCAGGACTGACCCCTCCCAGCACCCTGGGCCACACCTCTGAGCTTGGCTGCTCTTGGTTTCCTTCTCTTTGAAAAGAGGGAGGAGGGAAGAGTTCAGCGGTCCTGCGAGCTCTTTCATTGTAAGGGTTTTGTCCACAACGTGCTGTGTTTGCTCGTTTGTCCATTCGTTTCAGTCATTTGTTCTTTTTAAAAGCACTTAGCATAGGCTTGCAGTTGAGCTTAGTGCCAGAAACCTGTGGTCAGGTGTATGCTCTGCTGGAATACATGGTGAGTGGGAGACCCAGAGGCTACCGGTGTTTCTGAGTTTGGTGACAGGTGTCTCTGGGGCAGGTTTTCCTGCTCAACTCCCTGGCCCAAGGCACTACTCTTGAGCCTTAGGGTGGGGCAAAGGTCTGTGGGGCTGTAGATGTGTGGCAGGAATCTCCCAGGAATAGACTGGAAGGAGCGGCAGGTCAGCCGAGGTGGTGTCTACAAGCCAGGCCTCTTCTGGTCCCGTGGTCGTGGCAGCAGGGGCTTGGGGAATCCATAGAGGCTGCGGCTGTGCTCTAACCCTTGTGAAGGGGTGAAACACTCCGCATTAACTGCCAGAAGAGAGAGAAAGCAAACTTTCCTTCAAGCATCAGCTCAGAAAGGGCCGGGGCCTGAAGGGGACTGGTGACCCCGGTGGCAGGTGTCTGCGCTTGGTGACTTCTGCTGTGCCAACCTTGGCTTACAGCTGCCAGGACTTCTGGGTTTGGCATTATTTATTCAACCTTTGATGTTTTTGGTAGTAGCTGAGGCCAAACAAAGCTGGGGGATGACGTAAGACACCTGGCCAGCCCAGTACCATGGCAATGGGCAGGCCCTCACCTGCCCTCAGCTGATGCCATGTTGGTCCTGCCTGCTCTATTTGTTCTCAGCCTAGAGCAGAGCAGCAGTGGGGGTTGGAAGCAGGGTGGAGGCCAGCCGACCTAAGCAAGGTCAGCCCCAGAGAAGGGCGAGGACGGGTGACTTGCTGAGGGGTAGTTTCCCAGTGGCCCCTGGTCCTGGAGCTGTGGCCGCTTCGTGAATGGGGTCTGGGACTAGGACGAGCCTGCCACGTGCCCCCGTGTAAGCCAGAGGGGAGGCCAGGGGCTGGATAGCCTGGCAGACCTGGGCTTCCTGCGATGAGCTGGCTACAGGTTTCCCTTTAGAGAAAATACATCTTCTCCAAATACCATCTGCCTACGAACCACAGCACCCCGTAGCTAGCACACTATCGGGGAGGCTCACGCTGCTGTGGCCACGTCCGTCCGCAGGCTGCAAGTACAACCAGGTGAATAGCCACTTCCACTGCATCCGGGAAGGCTGCCAGTTCTCCTTCCTCCTCAAGCACCAGATGACCTCACACGCCCGGAAACACATGCGGAGGATGCTGGGGAAGAACTTTGACCGTGTGCCCCCATCCCAGGTGAGAGCCTAGGCCATACCGCTCAACAAGTGAGAGCCTATACCGCTCAACGATCCTTGCTACCAGGTGCCGGGCCACGCTGCCCAAAAAGTGCCCAAAGAACCCGTGGGCCACTCTCTTAGGGCCCCTCTACTTCCTTTCAGGGTCCCCCAAGCCTGATGGATGCTGAAACGGACGAGGGCATGGATTACACTGGCTGTAGCCCCGGGGCTGCGTCCTCCGAGTCGTCCACCGTGGACCGCAGCTGCTCCAGCACCCCCGTGGGCAACGAGAGCACCGCGGCAGGTGAGTGGCAGGCCTGGCTGTGCCGGCTGGGCCCCTGCTTCCCAGGCCCAGCCCTGCTGAGTCCTTCTTGGGACAGAAGGCTGACAGTCAGATGGCCTCCAAGGAGGACAAGAGGGTGTGCAGGAGGACAGGTGACCTACACAGCATTGGTCATTGAGGCCCCTCCTCCTGCCATTCTGCCCAGGTCACTTCAGTCTCCCCAGAGAGGGACCAGGGCTTGTCCCGTTAGCCCCAGAGAAAGCAGCATAGGCCCTGTGCTAGCCTGCCTACTGGCCTCGGTCCCAACTTCTAGCCAGAAGCCAGGGCCCCTGAGAGGTTCCTGCCTCCCAGCCCTGTCCTCAGCAAGACCCCCCCCACACCCAGTGCCTCCCACGACCTCTGCCCGTACTGCACCCCCAGCCTCTCTCCTCTGCCCCTCCCTGCCTTCCTTGTCACACCTCTCCGCTCATCTGTCACATATTTCCATACTGCACTCGCTGTAGCCATCGGGTTTCTCATTGGGTTCTTTTTGTTTGTTCTTTCTTTTGTTTTGTTTTTCTGCTTTTCTCCACCCTCTCCAGGCTGCCCGGTTCCTCCTCCTCCTCCTCTTCCTCCTCCTGCTGCGGCTGGTGACGAGGCTGCTCGTGGGGCTGCACCGGCCCCCTTGACTCCATCCTTCCCACCACCGGCTGTGCTCCGGCCACTCCTCCCTCCCCTCCCATGCCTCTTCTCCCCGTCCTGTCTGTCATACTCTGTGCTCAGTGCTACCCTCGGAGCCAGCCGGGGCCTGGCCCACCCCATCAGCAGCCCGCCCAGCTTCCCGCCCGCCACTGCCACTGCCACTCCAGTAAAAAGTGACGCCCCCCTAGTTCAGGACGCTGCAGGTAACTCAACATGCCTTCTTGCCAGTGTCTGTCACCCTGACTGACCCTCAAGGCTATGATCCAGGACTGGACAATTTTCTGTGACTAGCAGAGCCCGGGGCAGGGCCACCCCATACCCCTAACAGCCAAGTACCTCAGAGAAGAGATTGCCACTGCCGGGATCCTTCTGGGTGACCTGTAAGATCCTTGTCCTCCTTGGCCCTGTGACAGGGCAGAGCCCCTCTGCTGTTCTCTGTTCAGGTGGGAGCTGCCCAGGTCAAGGGTTCTGACTCTGGTTTGAGCCTCCTCCCTCTTCTGAAGCTCATCGGGGAGAAAAACCCTTTGGGCGTCCAGGCTCCCTCAGTGCTCCGTGGTAGATAGCCCTTGCCACCCCAGCGTCATATCCGGCGCCCTCGTGGAAGTGGTGTGCTCGCCCCCAGGTCTCTATCCATCCACCCACACTTCCCTTTATGTGTTACACCATCCCCGGGCTGGCAGCCCTGAGTAGGGCTGAGTGAACTCAGCCCACTGAAAGCTCTGTTGCTGGCATAACCAGGCAGAGCCCCCTCCCCCCTGACTTCAAGCTGCAGTGCGCTGTTCCCCCCAGATCCCCAGACCTGAACTGCCCTTGGCTTCTGCCTAGACGCCCCTGTACCTCCCTGGCCCTTGGTTTCTCTTCATTTGCCGAGGCTGGGGTGATAGGGCCTGCTTTTCAGTATACGATTGCAGAATTTTGAAGGTAGCCAGGCATCCTGGGGAGACTCGGGGAAGAAGATGCCTCCATCTACCCCGGGCAGGGCTAGGCCTGGGGTCTTTAGTTCCTGGGGAGAGAGTGATGAAATACCAGGGCTGGTTGCTGGACAGCCAACAAAGGCGGTTGAAGGTGTCTTCGGGTGCCTTCCCGGAAGGCATGGAGAAGCCTGTGGCTGCAGTCTCCCTGAGCCCTGAGAAGCAGGCTAAGACCAGGGTGGCTATCAGAGAGCCAGATTCCCTGCTGAGCCCCTGACTTCAGGCCTCAGAAAGGCAGTAGAGCCTTCTTGGGATTTCCCGGGTCCCTCAAACCAGGCAGAAAACTCCAAAACCTTAAGGAAACTTCTGGTATCAAGAAGAAGATGCTGGTAGGGTCTCTGGGATGCTCAGCATCTCTGCTTCCAGGAGGCAAGTCCTCCTGCACAGACAGGCAGGCAGCTGGAGCCTGGTTAGCTGGCAGGAAGGGAGCCGGCCTGTCCCTCATTAGAGGCAGGCGTGTGATGGCGTCCTGGCCTGAGTCCAACTTGGGTAATTACACTCTGCCGACCTAGATTCCCAGCTTCCCCTTCAGCTTCAATTAGTACTGGGATATGTCCTCACTTCCCACCCAAACTGGCCAGGAAACAGCCACCACATCCCGGGATGCCTGTGTGGTCATCCTGCAGACCTAGGAGGCAGGGAAAGCCTGGGACTCCCTGCCGTTCCCAAGGGGGCTGTGGGAGAGGCTCCTGGCCAGGGGAAAGCCAGGGTGTTGTTCCTAAGCGGTGTCTGCTGGCCACCATGCCAGGATCAGGGGCCCTGTGTGGGTGTGACCCTGGGAATGGTGCCCACGTGGGCACTGCTGCCAAAAGGGCACCCCTTCCACGCTGACCTCTCTCTGCCCCTCCCCAGGGAACACCATCTCCATGCCTACAGCCTCAGGGGCCAAAAAGCGCTTTTGGATCATCGAGGACATGTCTCCCTTTGGCAAGCGGAGGAAGACAGCCTCCTCTCGCAAGATGCTGGACGAAGGCATGATGCTGGAGGGCTTCCGGCGCTTCGACCTCTACGAGGACTGCAAGGACGCGGCCTGCCAGTTCTCTCTCAAGGTCACCCACTACCACTGCACGCGGGAGAACTGCGGCTACAAGTTCTGCGGGCGCACGCACATGTACAAGCACGCACAACACCACGACCGCGTGGACAACCTGGTGTTGGACGACTTCAAGCGCTTTAAGGCCACGCTCAGCTGCCACTTCGCAGACTGCCCGTTCTCGGGCACCAGCACGCACTTCCACTGCCTGCGCTGCCGCTTCCGCTGCACCGACAGCACCAAGGTCACCGCGCACCGCAAGCACCACGGCAAGCAGGACGTGATCAGCGCCGCCGGCTTCTGCCAGTTCAGCTCCAGCGCGGACTGCGCCGTGCCCGACTGCAAGTACAAGCTCAAGTGCTCGCACTTCCACTGCACCTACCCGGGCTGCCGCCACACGGTGGTGGGCATGTCGCAGATGGACTCGCACAAGCGCAAGCACGAGAAGCAGGAGCGCGGGGAGCCTCCCGCAGCCTCGCCCGGCGCGCCTGTCAACCTGGACGGCTCGCTGACACTGGCCGCGGAACCGGGCTCGCTGCTCTTCCTGCAGACGGCGGCTACGGGCCTGGGCCTGCTGGGGGACACGGGGGACCCCGGCCCGCCTGCCACCATCCCCGGGCCTCGCGACGGTCCTGCCACGCCCGCCCCCGCCGCCTCTGCCACCATCACCGCAGGGGAGTCCTCCCAGGAGGACGATGAGGAGGAGCTGGAGCTGCCCGAGGAGGAGGCTGAGGACGACGATGAGGACGACGACGAAGAGGACGACGAAGACGATGAGGAAGATGATGATGACGACGACGAGGACCTGCGCACCGACTCGGAGGAGTCGCTGCCCGAGGCTGCGGGCGAGGCGGGCGCGCGGACCCCGCTGGCGGCCCTGGGTGGCCCCGGCCCGGCGCCCACCGCCACGTCGTCACCCTAGCTGCTGCGCCACTCCAGTCCCCTCTGGAACTGCTCTCTGTATGTGAACCCCCTGTGTACAGACCCCGCTGGGCCGTCCCAGGGAGGGAGGCGCCCTGGCCCCGCCGGTGCTTCCGGACCCCGAGTCCGTCTCAGGGCAGAGGCGGGGACCCCTCTGGTGCTCCGGGTCGCCAGCGCCCTCCCGGCCCGCCCGAGAGGGTGTTCAGGGAATAGCAGGTGCTGTGTCCGCGTGGCGACGCTGGCCTGCGCTCCTCTGGGTGCCCACACGCGAGGTCCCTGTTTGCTCAGGGGCTCCCCGCGGGGGTCACCGGGTTGCGGGGCGGCAGGCACCTGTAGCATCTGGCAGGGCCCCCCAATGCAGCTAAGACCTCCCCCTAACTTGGGGGAGGGCGGGCCGAAGACGGCCAGCATCAGCACCGGTGACACTACAGGGACTTAGGGACTTGGAGGGACTCTCATGGAATCAGCAGGAGTCGGCATCCCCGCCCCCAGCTGTGGTCCGGGTCTGGTGACTCTCAGGCCCCAGCCCCACACACCCTCCAGTGACCCACAGCAGGCACGGCTAGTGGGGGCCTGGAGGCGAGGGTCTCAGCCACTCTGGTGCAAACAGGAAGGGTGCGACTGGTTTTGGCTTTAATAATCAAAATGGGGGGGGGGGACCCAAGAAAGTTGTACAGTATTTTTCCTGTAAAGGTTATTATTCTACATAGAACAAAAAGAGAAGAAAATAAATAAACAAAGCAGGTGGGTGCGTGGGATCCGAGCCCTGCCTCCAGACCAGCCCTGGGATTGGGGACCTGAGTGCAATTTCTCCTATGGAATTGTTTAGCATTTATTTTAGAGGCCTCAGTTTGAGGCTTTGTCTTCACACTAGCACTGCTGGGGGCTGCGTGATTCCAACTTTTAACTTGAATTTTGTAAAGACAAGGAAAAAAACCGACTATTCTCTTGATACAAGTTTGTAGCTAATTTAACATTTGAGGGGTTTTCTGTTGGTTATGCGTGTGGCTTTATAGGGCTTTTTTTTTTCTTGTTCCAGTTTTATTATCTTGTTTGGGATGCTTTTGTGCTGGTGCAGTCCACCCAGATTTGGTTCCTTCTCCAAAACACCCCTTCCTGGAGGCAATAAGGCCACCTCCGCTCAGCACAGGGCTCACGCTGCAGGCACATACATGGCCAGCAGCTACTCCAGTCCCCAGTAGGGGCAGGCTGCCTGATGCCAGGCTTGTGGTGTTAACCTGTGCACTGCAGATCCTGGTCTGTGCCAGGCTGGAAGACAACAGGCCAACCCAGCAAGCAATGGAGGGGTGACACTGCCACCAGGAAGCCCTCCCACACATCTTCAAGGGGGGGCCTGCCCAAGTGGACAGTGGCTTTCTTTATCTGTCTCCAGATGTGTGTGTGTGTGTGTGCCCGTGTGTGCGTGTGCCCGTGCGAGCGTGCGTGCACGTCCCCTCTTGGTTTCCCACAGCCAGAAAGCCAGGACCACCTGAACTGGAGGGCGAGCAGGGGGTGCACAGCGGTAAGACGGGAGTCCCCAGTCCAACAGGAAGCGCGCTGATTCCTAGACAGCCCCTGCCAGAGCCTCCATGCTGCTGCTGAGAGTTCGCCCAGAGTCTGACCGACCGCAGGACCCTGCCTCTGTGGAAGGAGTTTTGTAAAGGAAAAAAAAACAAAATAAAATAAAACAAAATAAACAATTTTCAATGTAGCAAAATCAAACAAAAAATTAAAAAAGGAAAAAAAAAAAGAGAAGAAGACGCGGAGAGTGCGAAGTCTAGCCTTTTGTAAAGCTTCATATTGCACATTAGGACTATAAGCCATTGCTAGCTCATTTTGAATTTTAATGTGTAATTTTTGTTTTATTTTCTTTCTGTGAGGAAAATGATGCCTGATCCACCAATGCTCTTTTTAATGTTTTATAACTATGTATGTGTATATATATAAATATAAAAGTAATATGTATGCACATATGTGTGTATATATCTATATGTATATACATATATAGATATATAGAGATATATAGAGAGGTTTTGAGACAAAAAAAAAGCAGACCGTGAAAGCGAACTGAACAGCGCGTGCCCTGATTACTTGAATCTGGTCTCCTCGGCACCTGGTTATTAAGAACTGAATATTTTTCCACTTGAATTTAGTGCTATTAGAAATTTAATATATGTGTTTTATTTATTTGATTTTTTTTGCATGACTGATGCAAGGTTTGACATTTTCACTCAATAAAAACTGGAAAAAAAATCTGTCACGTTATCTTTTATTTTTAAAATTATCCCCGAGTAGCTGGCCATGACCCAAATGTTGGGGTAGTCCAAACACAGCCAGTTTCGAAGTACCCAGGGAGAGGAGGAGGGACTTGGCCACTTTGAAGCCCAGCAGGGCAGGGGTCGGGGATAGACTAGCTTTGCCTCTGGGCCTAAGGCAGGGATTCAGGGACAGACTAGTTTTGCCTCTGGGCCTAAGGTCAGATTTTCCTACTATTTGCTGGAGAGAGATGATGGGGGGAGGTGCTCAGGAACCACCCATCAGAAGATCCGCCTGGCAGTGAAGACCCCCCCCCCCCAGCCTCACATTCTGGCCAGCCCTCCCGTGTATTCTCTGGGGCTACAGGACCGCCACTTGGCAGGGCAATCCCTCAGCTCCTTCCTTCTTCCTGCAGGGACCTGCCCAGTCTGGGAAGAGCACGTACCCGGATCCAATCCGGATGCTGGCGACGCTCTTGCTTGGAGCACATGGTGGCAGATTCAGAGGAATAGGGTCATGGGTCTGCAGCCTTCAAGTCAAGGCCTGAGCTGCTGGCCCTGGTGGCACTAGGGCTGAGGACATCTTTGGAAGTGAAGTCTCGGTGGAAGGGCAGTGCCTTGTGGCTCCCACAGTTCACATGACCTCTGTCTATCACACGACCCCCAACTGGTGACACGCCTGTCCGCCTTGACGCACATCGTGCCAGCCCCACTGTGAGCTCGGTCTCCAAGTGGCCAGCGCTGCCCAAGGCCTCAGGGAGGAGACATGGAGAGGCCAGGCTGGTAACCCTAGCACGGTCACACTGACTTGCCACACTCCTGCCACAGGGGACATCAAGTCGCTTTCCCAAGGGTCTTAAAACGCTGAGTCCTTGTAGTATACCCCCTCCCTCGCTGAGCCTGGCACACTCAAGCTTCCGTCACCGTGGGTCCAGGGGCCAGAGCGTGCACGGCCTCGCCCACCAGTGCCAGGCTGAGTGCGTTCCTCACCACAGACTCTCCAGGCCAGCACGGGGTGCCTTTCCTTTCTGCTTGGCTCCTGGAACTTGGCCCACAGGCTATTTACATAAATACGTTTGTAACAGACATGAAAATAGAGACTTTTTTTGGTCTTATTAAAATGTTCAAGTTGGAACTCGCCTGTTGTTTGTGGATATCTCGATTCTGTTAAATAAAACAGTGACTAATTTATGGGATAAAACACAAGTTCAACAAATTAAAACCATTATTGGAGCTTCACAGGCCCCGGTGGGCTGCGCTGCCTCCCATGGGGCCTGCGGGGAGGCAGGGAGCCAAGTCCCAAGCTCGGCTGGCGATAGGCTGGTGGGTGGAGCGGCCATGGGGCTCCTTCTGGGCACCGTACAGTAGTCCTCGGGGCTCAGGGAGTGGAAGCAGTTTCTGAGGCAGACTCGTGGGGCCCAGGGAAGGGGTTCACTAGTTAGTTTACTAATCTTGAATGCCCCCCCAAATGTCCCCTCATTTCCTGTCCCTGGGCTTTCTGGGCCAGGACCTACCTTGGCAGACCCATACCCAGGGGATGGCGGGATCAGCTTTCTAGTCACCTCGAGGCAGCGCCCAAGGAAAGGCACCAGGCACATGAATGAGCCCACTTTGATAGGTCCTAGCCCTAGAGCCGGGAGGAGAGCTAGCTGCTGTGGGTGGTACCCCACCCCAGGGCCCATGATGTTCTCTGTGGCCTGTTGGATTTGGTACAAAATGCTGTAAAACATGTTTTTGTTCTGGGATTTAATTAGCTGTGGTGGTATGATGCTGCAACACCCAAACTGGGGCAAATTCAAGAGTCTTGTAACCTCGAGGAATGAGTTAGAAACAGCTGTGCAGGCTTGTCGCTGATCTCAGCGGACAGCCGCCTTCCCAGACAGGGCTGGCCAGGGTGCTGGGCAGCCGGATGCTGGAGCAGGCCTTGCCTCTAGCTCAGGGGGTAACCCCAGTGTAAGATTCAGGCAATATGCTGGCCTGCCCCTGTCACCGGGCAGAATGCACTCAGGCAGTACTCTGGTCAGCCCAGGGTTCCAAGAGTACCTGTCTGCACTCAGGTGCAAAAGACCCCTTTAAAAGAAAGACACCCCCCACCCACCCACTTAAGCTCTCTTTCTGCCTCGTCTCTTTCCAGCTCTCTTCCCCATGGTTCCTCTGGGGCAGACAGGACTTTTCCTGTCTCCCTCTTCTGTCCTCTCTCTGTGTCTCTTTATCTCCCCCCCTGCCCCCTTTCTAATAAAACTTCTCACTTAAGCTCTGTCTGCCTGGTGTGTCTGTCTCTCTGCCTGGGTCAACCTCACCGGCCATGGTTCCCTTCAAGCTTTATTATAACACACAGTACTAAGACAGTGTCCTCTCTGGGCAGTATATCTGGGTCACTGGGTAACACTGTCATGAGAGGTGGTCCTGGCTCTGCAGGTGGCTTTGGCCCAGAGCCAGGACACAGGAATGAAAGTTCTGCTGCCTAAGGACAGGTTAGACCTCCAAGCAAGGCCCCTGGAGTCCCGGGGACCATGCAGAAACAAAGAGGGCCACCTGTGCCATCCTTTCTGGCAAGAGCTATCCCAATCTGGGATCAAGCTGACAAAGGGTCTTCCAGAGTGATGAGTCCACACCAAGGAACTTTCCCTGGCCCTGCCTGCTTCAAAACCTCTAGCCCTTAGCTTTGCCTGAGCCTCTGGATGCCAACTTCTGTGTCCTGTGTCTAGGCAGGCCCCTGGCCCTGGCAGTGCCCTGGAGATGATGCCAGAGTTGGGGTGATAAGCTAGCCAGACATCAAGCTGCACCCCTCCCCCAAGTTACTATAGCTTCATTCGGGGTCTGTGGAAATCACAGTCCAAGGGAGGGGGCTGGAGGGACAGCTCGGTTGGAAAAGCACTTGCCCAAGTACCAAGACCCACGTTTGAATCCTAGAACCCATGGGCAGATGCCGGCATAGTAGCACACCCTTGTGATCTCGGCACTGGGGAAGCAGAAACTGGCAGACCCCTAGGGTTCATGGCCAGTCAAGCCTGACCCGTGTGCTGCAGGCCAATGAGAGATGTCTCAAAGGAGGTGACACCAGAGGCCGGCTCTGGCCTCCATGTGTACATTCCCATATGTGTGCACACACATAAAAACCAAAGCACAGTTAACCAGAAGCGGCCCTAGCTGGCACGCAGTCCGTCGGCGACGGCAAGGGTCATGGCCCCATGCCAGTGTGTTTTGCTGCTGTTGGGGGCAGTTTGGACACTAGTGCATTATGGGAATTTCCTACTTAACTTTTCAACTTCAGATGGGTTTGCTGACTGCACTCTGAGTCAAGGAGCAGCTGCATCCAAAGCCACGAGCCTACAGCCCCGCTTGCTTGACTTTCCTTCATCCGAGCCCGGATCTCCTGGGCTCAGCTCTCCTGGCTGCAGCCTCTGGGAAGCTGGGATTAGACGCATACGCTACTGGATGGAGCCAACAACCCTGTCCCTTTAAAGTCTTCCCAGGCCTCGCTGTGGAGCAAGGAGAGACTCCAGGCATCTCCCTACCAAACTGCAATAAACCCATCCTTTTCTGGGAGGACACGGATTTAAAGCCCCCAGGGAAGGGACCTACGAAGACTTGCTGTTCACCTTTCAGGTGAAGTCACCCAAAAGACAGGCTGAACTCTCAAACGCTGTTTGATGAGGAGTCATGTGGTTAGGACCTGACAGTTGGGCTGGGGGCAGGGGTGTGGTGATGGCGGACCCCCCCCAGGCCACAGGGATGTGGTGATGGCAGCCCCCCCAGGCCACGTGTAATGTGTGCAATGGCATGGGCGTGTCACCTTGTGTAGAGACCCTGAGACATCACCCAAGATACTTCCTCTCGTCACTTGGCCAGACAGGGTGGGTCTGTTCAAGAAAGACCCCTGTGCCAGGCCAGGAACAGGTTGAGGAGAGTAGCCAGGCTCCACCTGCCAAAAGACCATTGAGGCCTGGGCTTCATGCCCAGGGAACATTCCACGTGAGTGGGACCTCCCTGGTGCCTTCTCCTCTGGTGTCCCACAGAAGTGTTTAGACCAGGATAAAGCATGCTGCCTCCTTCCCTGGGCAGGGGCAGGGCAGTCCTCGGAGGAGAGGCCTGGCCTAGACCCCCAACAGCCAGTGCCTTCTTAAGCCTGGAGGGGCCCCAGAGTAAGCAGTGAGTTTGAGGGTCCCAAAGGACAATCACAGACCACTGTCCTATCAGTGAGCAAGTCACTCGGCATGCAGAGGAGTGAGAGAGAATCCTGTCAACACAAGCCACAACTCAGTCAGTCCTCCCAAGTCACAAAGTTTTCCTAAACATATGTATACTACAGAGAAGCCCAATATTCTGGGGTACAAACTTAATAGTCTCTGAGCACTCCTTTTCCCCCCAAGTGCCTGGGATACCTACCACAGACCCCATGACAAGCTCCGCAATTCTCTACACCCCCGGCATCCTTCCTCCCTGGGTGGCAGCCCCCCCACTCTGTCTTTTCTACCCAAGGTAGTTCCAGTGAGTCCCAGCACTGGGGGAGGCCAGGGTCTGAGGGGAGCTCAGCAGGGAGGGGGTCAAGACAGCTGGGCACAGCCTCCAAGCACTGGGGTTCGTCCTCTCCCAAACGACACTTTATAAAAAGACATCGTAATTGAGTTTAATAATGTGCTCCCTTCCAGAAAGGGCTTGACAGGCGCTGCCTGCTGCTCACTTCTGCCCCATTCCAAATATTTTTACCTTATTTGGATGAAATGCATTATTTTTCTAATGAAAGGCTTTTTTTCAAAGGGCAGTTTCCCCCGGCCAGCAGCCGCCTTTATTAGGCAGCCCTCACGCAGTTTTGGGGAGGGGCTTTTCTCTCCCTGAAGTTGCGCCAGACTCTGTCCTCAAAAGCTGAAGCCAGGTTTCTGTCCCTTCTCTTCTGAGCTTGTGCCCTGGACCCTCCGACCTGGTAACGCCCCCAGGTGGGGAAAATGCGGAGGCGGTAAGGTCTAAGGCCCGGCTCTCACATCAGAGCACAGACAGGACTGGGTGCGTGCAGGGAGGTGGCCATGGCCAGCAATTTGCACTCCTGCCCCAGCCCCCACTCCGGCTGCGCTTCTGTCCTGGGGTATCTGCCCTTCTAGTCTTTTCTGGTTCCTGTAAGGGAACCTCAGAAGTTACAAAGAGTAACAACGGTTACTGAACCCAAGGGGGCTGTGGGAGCCCAGCAACAATGTTCCCATTCACTAGAGGGGCAAAGCCCAACCCTCCGATGGTACATCTCCGGGCTGTCCACCTGCCTCCTGACACTCGGGCTCCCTGGGGCTCCTGGGAAAGCAAGGTCCCCTAGCCATGCAGGCTGGTCATCCCTGGGAGAGAAGGAACGTGGCTTCCCCAGGGACATGAGGAAAAGGATGAGTGCAGGGAGCTTTCTCCAGGCTCTGCTTCTAACTAGGGACCAGGGGTTCACATGAGGCAATAAAGGGAGACCAGGGTCACAGCCAGAGAGCAGGGAGGTAGACATCCTCTGGGACAAAGCCACACTCCTCAGCCACACTGGTGCGTCCTCCCTGCTTTCCCAGGACAATGGGGAGCAGGGACTCCAGGGCCACAGGAGGGGTGTGTGTCCCAGCTGCAGTGTCGGCCACTGCCAGGCACCCTGCATGCCCAGGCCCACGACACACAAGGCACACGAAAGGACGATTCTCCACGTCTCCAGGCCTGACCGCACCCCGGTGGAAGGAGCAGACAGTGTCCTTGGAGGGGTGTTCCTCCTGCTCCAGCTTTCTGGTCCTAGCTCAGCACACTGTGAAGGTTAAAGGGAGACAGGGAGGGCTCACGCGCTCGGGACCAGCAGACAGGCTCCTGGGGAATGCGCGTCCATTTAAGGAAGGCGGCTCATCCCACAGCAGGAGGTCTATATACAGTAACAGTCCCTTCCTGCTCAGGGAAGGTCGCCCTCACAGACACCAGCGCAAGAAGGAGCCCCTCCAGTTCTGGGCGAGCGACTCGGACAGGTCCCTGGGAGCCCTCATCCCTCAGGGTCCTACATCCCTCAGTGGTTACCTGGTGGAGCTCTGGCTGAGACCCACCTTGGAGGCGCAGGTACTAGCAGATGAGGTCAGAGCCAGGAGTTAAATATGGCAACTCATATTTATTACAATTATGTACAGTCATATCTTATATTCTGCAATCTATACATGATCACATAAATGAACATGTGTTTCTCTGTGGGAAGGACAGACGTGGCTGTTGGTCTTAAGGCCCTGCTGCCGGGCTCCACTGCAGGACGGAGAAGCACATCACACCTCACCATGACACAGCAAGCGAGGGTGGTCTTGTGTGGTACCCGGGACAACATGGCAGGTGGGCTGGGGACAGGTGCCCAAGGGCAGCATCTGTCAGCCAGGACCTGGTTGTAGGGTGGCTGGGTCCCGGCAGGCCCACAGATGAAGAGCAGGTCCAGGGCTCTGGCTTTTGGAACAGGCAAAAAAAAAAAAAAAAAAAAAAAAGCCACAGGCCAAGCCAGGGCACAGTAGGAGACAAGACCCCGGGGCCACAGTTCCCCCTGCACTGAGGTGACAGGAGGCAGGAGATGACATGAGCTCTGGCCATGCATGGTGTCAGGTAGTCAAGATACTCAGAGGACACACCTGGACGAGTCAGGTAGTCAAGATACTCAGAGGACACACCTGGACGAGTCACCTGTCCAGGAGGGTGGGCAGGGGCTTAAGCACAGGGCTCCGGAGTCCTCGCCTGGCTGTGGACAGCCAGAGTCACCGGGGCTGGGGAACAGAAATGCTGCGTCTGACGACAGCCTCACCCCTACCTGGGTTGCCAGCCACCCTCATGGAGGCAGAGCCACACCCATGCCCACCTGCCACTGATGTCCTGGGGTGCTGGGAAGGCGGGCGGGGCGGCAAGTGCCAGGCCTAGTCGCGCTCACTTTCGTTGCTGGCTCCCTCTGGCCGCCGCAGCTTCTCCACCTGCTCGTTGATCTGCCCATCCCCGCCCCGCCGGTCCTCCCTCTGTACCCCAAGGACGTCTTCCTCATCCACATGGCTCACGTCATCGTCCTCGTCCTCCTCGTCCTCCTTGTCCTCCCTCTTCTCCTCCTCACCCTGCACCTCCATCCTCACCTGGCCCTTGACGTCTACCACCCCCGCGCCCTCCTCCTGGGGGCCCAGCAGGTGGTAGGCGGCTGTGGAGCCCTCAGGGCTGTGGCTCTCCTTCCCAGGGGAGGACGACGTGGATTCGTTGCTGACCGGGGAGATGTCACTGCTGCTGTGGTGGTTCACAGCCGCAGGGCTGGAGGGAGATGGGGACTTCACTGGGATCTGCCAGGAGGGGATCTTCGGGGCCGACGGGGACGGAGGGAACTGCCTCCTGGCAGTGGAAGAGAAAAAGAAGCAGGTAGAGGTCGGTGACAGCACCCAGCTCCAGCGTCACACACTCCCCTGACCCCTGGTCCCCGAAGGCTCAGTGAGGGCAGCAGCTTCTCCAGGCCCACAAGGTGGAGGACTGGACAGAGTCCTTTTCCTCTCCTTTTAAGAGCAAAGCCTCTGGGCCCACTGGCGGTCTCATCAGTCAAGCTGGACACCGGAAGTGCCCTGTGCTGCCCAACACTGTCCCAATGCAGCCTCACCCCACCCAGGACAGGAACTCACCTGCCTTGGCAGCTGCTGGTCTGCCAGCTGGGACCCAACACACCCCACTCAACACCGCCCCTGCTCCACTCCTGCGGCTACACAGGGGAAAGACCAAAGGGGCCAAGGCTGGGAACCCAGGAGCCCCGGCTGGTGCATCTGTAATCTCAGTAAAAGGCAGCAGTGAGGAACCCTGGCTACCGGCCAGGGGAGCAGTGGCATTAAGAGCAAAAGGTGACATTAGAGGTCTTTGCTGGGAACCTGTGCGCCCAAGCTTTGACCGAGGAAAGGCCAGCTCTCCTCGGCCCTGGGCCAGCAGCCAGCCCAGACTGATGCCCATTCCAGGACAGACCTGAGAAGTTAGGTCAGCATGGTCATGTCTCAGAAATGTGACTATGACACCAAGTCCTGTTTCTGCAAAGGCTGAGAGGACAAGTCCTGCTCCTGTCCAGGGCTGTGCCACCTCCTGGCAACAGTCACAGAGTCAGCCTCCGACCCCAGAGGCCGCCTGCGGCATGCGCACCAGACCTGCAGCACTCCACAGCTGCACGGACGCAGCTTCAGAGTCCCCTGGCCTGCGTGTGTCTCCCAGCCCAGAGCCAGCTACTTCTAGGTTTGGAAAGTCGCAGACTTCTGAGAACAACCTCCCTGCCCGGATCGCCCATGTCTGTTGTAGAGACCCATGTCTGTCCGTCCATCTGTCCTGCCTGCCGCCCCCCACCCTCTGAAAATCTCAATGAGGGAGGCTTTAGGAAGCATGGCCCACTAGCCTAGGCTCATCACAGCATCCTTACCCCACCCCTGTCATGGTCTTGCCCCTGGCCAAGCAGACATGCGCATGTCCAGACACAGCCTGCTAGGGCACACTCAGGCAGACTGACATCCCAGCTTCCTGCACACTACACTTCCAGCTTTCCGCCGGGTCACTCCCGATCAGGGCTGCACTGAGAACAATGTGCTGCTACTACAGGGGACACCAGGAAGCTTCTCAAGGGGAGGTCTGGTTCTGTTGACACAGCTCTCACACCCTGAAACCCTCAGCAGGATGCTGTCTGAGACAAGGCTGTCTGGACAGGTGCTACACTCGGGAAGGAGCGGCCACCTCCACGTGCCCTGTGTCAGTATGAGTTCTCTGCTCGCAGCCAGCCCCTGCTCTCTGCCTTAGCAGTGTCCCTCTCAGACAATCATTTTTTTATGTGACACTTATGAACACTGTCCCCCTGGTATGGGAGGCCCCTTAGGGTCCTGTGCCTCCTGTGACTGCTAGGCCAGTCCACAAACCACCCCAGTACACAGGTTGACCCTGGACAAGACAGAACCCTGAGATTCCTCTCCTACCGATTCAAAAGAAGCCCTTTCAGGGAGTTGATTTCCGACTTGAGCTCATTGATATTCTGGGACTCCAGGATCCAGTTGGTTGATGTGGTAGCCTGAAAGTCAGAACACAGGTAACATGGGTCACAGTGGTGCCTGCAGCCAGCCTGGGTCAGGGTGGGGTTACTTAAGAGGACCCTGGGTGGGGCATGAGCTGTAAGCCATTCTGTGTCCCACTCTGCACTGTCACATCTGCCTGTGACAACACCCTACAATAAACAATTCCCAAGCCCCGTCTGGGGATACAATGATGCTAAGTCACTGCGTGCTCGCAGGTGGCACTATCGTGTGTGCAAAATCTCCCTCCCGCAGACACTGACATGCTCGTAGTGGCAGGTGACAGTGGGAGGGGCTGCTGTGGCCATGAGAATCTTCTACTTCTGTTGAATATCTGAAACTTCCACTTAAACCACCACGCATAAACACAAACTACCTCTCAACAACGCCTCCCTGAAACCACACCTTCCCCAAGAAGTCAGCGCTAACCAGTCAGTCAGGGGGAAGCTGCTGTCAGTGTAAGGCTGAGAGAGGCCTGAGCGCTCGTGCTGTCAACAGCCTTGACTTTAAGCAGGTTGAGATGGCAGATTCACCCTAATGGCGTTTCCTGGGGGTCTCTGCTCCTGGCTGTGACTCCGGGTCCTCAGAGGCTCCCCAGGGTCAAGAAGGATGCGCTAGCCAAACCCCACTCCACACAATGTTATCCATTCTTTGGGACAAACCAAAGCTGACCGGAGACAAGGAGTCAACCTGCTCCCCAAAGGGCGGGGTGGGGGGGGTGACACCTTCCTACCACTAACCCTGGAGGAGCCACAGTGGGGCTGTGGGGGGCTGTGTGGTTTGTGATGCCAGCGTGTGTGGGCATGACAGGCAGGAGGCTCTCCCAGGCTGCTGAGGGGACACCCCTGGATCTGCCTTGTGGGCCATGGTTCCTGACACAAGGTGGGGCACTGTAGGTTAGCCTAGACAGAAGAAACCTCTCAGCTGCCGGTCTCAGGAACAAAGACTGGGTTAGTCTGGAGGGAGCAGGGAGTGGCCAGTGTCCTCACACACATCCCCATAGGGTCCCTGCCCCAGACCAGCAGACAGCAAGGCCCGGGAGCCACTGTTCTGGCTTCTCCAAGACCTTGAAAACTGCAGCAGCCCATTAACAAGGGAGCAGTTTCCACTCACCGGCCACAAAGGACTCAGATTTCCAAACGCACATGGTGCCAGATGCCAGGATTTAGAAATAAAACCTGACATCTGGGGCTTTTTAGCCAGACTCTTTAAAAAACAGTTGTAGCAAACTCACAGGCTTCAGTTTTATGTAGGTTTTTAATTACTTAAAGCTCTTCTTTTCATTTTTTACAGTGCTCCAGTAGGAGTTTGGAAAGCAGATATAAAAACTTACGTTACAGCTGAGAAAACATAGCTTGAATCTTTGGTTTATGGGGTAAGAGGAGTCCTCACACACTGTGGGCCTGGGTGCCAGGCCAGAGCCCTACTTCAGCAGGGAGAGCAGAGAAAGGCTCTGTGGGGGCAGGAGCTGTGACAACTGGGGACTCTTCTAGACCACAGCCCCCAAACCAGCCAGTCCAGCACTCCTTAAAGTGCAACATGTGGTCTTCATCTCATGCTTAGAGCCTGAAAAGAGGGTTCCAATTTCCGGAATGGCTCTGGCCACTGGCAGGCCACAGATCTGAATGACAGCAACCAAGTGGGGACCACACTGCCTTCCTGCCTGCTTTATAGCTGCCTGGAGGGGACAGTGGTAGCACCCAGCCACCTGAGCAGGAAGTGAGACAGCCTATGTGTAAAATGGAATGGACCTTGAGAACTTTCCTCACAACAAGGGCCCTGTGATGTTTAGTTTCCTGATCTGCAATCCAACTGTGCAGAGTCTGGAGGGACTCTCCAGGAGTAGCTCAGGTGGGATTCTTCAGAGGATCCCAAGGACCCAATAGATGCTGCCTCTCAGATCCCTCTAAGATGGTGCTTTGGGGATGATGCTGTCACATGCAAAGCTGAGGACCTGAATCCTGGGCTCTGGACCAGGCACACCACTCTGACGCACAGAAGCAGTGTGACAAAGTAGGCGCTGTCACAGCTCCATCTCACAGACAGACAGAGAACGTGGAAGTGAGTTTCTCGTGGTCTAAGAGCTAGCAAATATTAGATGGAGGGCCTTATCCCAGACTGATCCTTTAGCCTGCTGCTGAGCAGACTGCTTCAGATGTAGGCAGCGAGGCATGGGACCACGGTGCACCTCTCTGCTGCCTCGACTTCTCCTTGGCCAGGCTGTGACCCACAACCATCAAAAGTCCAGCAGCAGAAGGTGGCTGTTCATCACCGTGTCAGGAGGTGGCATAGAAGCAGGAACAGCAACCTTGATGGTTAAATGCTGCACCAACGCAGTGGTGCCCCCTTCTTTCCTGGGATGGATAGTGTCAGCCTCTGAAGTGTCACCCCATGACAGAAGACGGCAAGAGAGGACAGCAGGCCCACAGCAGAAGGGAGGACTAGGACTTGGAGCTAAATGGAACAGACCTTGGCCTGGGGACCCAAGGGCCCAAAGTCAAGTACCTTGGCCGTGGCCAGCTCATGGGTCAGCTCTTGGACCTTCTGCTGCTGCTGTCTCAGTAGGTCTTGAACAGAAGCCAGCGTTGTCTGTACCTGAGTCACTAGGGAAGAAAGCGTCATGTCTGCTAAGTTAGTGTCCAAGGTTCCCTCCTCGTCCACATACCTGCAAGCTGCCTGCCTCCCTGCTGTGTGTAATTTATCTGCAAGGGCCCTGCCCCCACACCCAGGTAATTTATCTGTGCCTGGGGTGATCCACCGCACTGTGTGTAACCTCTGGTGTCTCTACTTCATCTTTGCATTGTGTGCTTGTCCGTGGTCAACAGTATATCCGTCCAAAACCTCTCCCCTCTAATTACGCCTGGCTGTGATGTGCCTGGCTCTCTGGCTCCCCCTGAGCTCCCGTCATTCATCTCCCCGGCCTCACAGTGTCCTTGGTGCTCTAGGATGGTGTCAGTCCCAGGAGGGCTCAGGTCTCCACCACATCCAGGAATGGGAAGCCCAAGTCCCATCCACAGCCGTTTGCCCATTCTGTTCTGCCCCATTGAGGATTGTCAGGGCCCCACTACCATGTGACCTGTTGAGGCCTGTGATGACCGTGTCCTGACTTCTAGGAGCAATGGCCCATGGGACAGGTGGGTTAGAGGGCTCCAGACAGCTTTGCACAGGTGCCTGCTAGTGAGGGACAGAGACTCCTGACTGGGGCAGGTGGACCTCTCCCTGCTTCAAGGTTTAGACTCACAGCGTCCACTTAGAAACAAGTTCATAAAGGAGAAAATCACCTCTGCCACAACAGGTCCCAGCTAATCTGGGCCATGGCTGGGGCAGCAGGTACTGAGTGTCGTCCATGTGGAGTCGATGACAGAGGGGGTGGCAGGGGTCTCGGGAGCCACAGTAATTACAGACTCTCTTGACCCTGCATTGGATTCTTCCAGGGAAGGGGCAAAATCACTGAAAACCCCCCTGAAAACCTTATAGAAGCAGAAATTAAAAATGAACTTTACAGCCCTGAGAAAGGCTGTCATTTTATTCCCCTTATTAATATTCTGAGGTTGGGAGCCTTTCCGTAAAAACATAATTAATTGAGGCCGCGCCGACGGTAAACAAGCAATTTCAAATTAAACCGAAATGACGGCGGCTTCATTTGCAAATGTGAACAGATTCTCAGAGCAGATAAATGAAGTCACCACAGAGTGGAGACGGAGGGAGAGGGAGGGGCCGAAAGGGGCTGCGTGAGGGGCTTTGAGGGGTGACTTGATGGAGTCATTAATCTTTACCTGTCTGGGCCACGCTGCCACTCAGTTCGGAGAGACTCGCTGCCATCCTCTCCAGCTGCTTCCTGTCCTCTCGGCCTCCCAGGATGAGGGGCAGCAGGTACTTCTGCACGAAGGGACCAGGTGAGGAGGTGGCCACTCCAGCCTCTCAAATCCCACCACCCAACTTGCCCTGACCTTCTGCGGGTCACTCAAGTCCCAACACACTCCATACTACAAAAAAAGTGGTTGAAAAAGTTAGCAGACTTTGGTATGGCCTCGTAAAAGCTTCTGTGGGAACAAGGACAAAGAGCAAAAGAGGGTGAGGAGAGGCCAGGGGTGCCTAGCAAGGGCTAGGCCAGGTCTCTGAGCTGTCCCCAAGGTCGGGAAGGTCTCCCTGTGAGGGAGACCTCGCCCCTTAAGCTTACTTTTCTTAGATACATATTTCCACGACACTCTTAGATTCTACTTGAAAAGTTCTAAGGGAGACGGCAGAAGGGTACTTCCCTAGTGGTGGCTGCTCGGGAGTGAGGGAAAAGCAGCTTTCACTGTTCCCTTTCTGAATCTTTAACACTTGAACTCTATGAATGAAACAAACTGCCTCACCCATCCAGAAACAACATTAGATCTGCGTAAACACAACATTACTGGAGAGACGGGAAAACCAACAGACTTCTGGGATCATTGATCTCCTATGGCGGGAATAAGGAAGCCTACTAAAGAGGGCACCTTGGACTCGTCTAAACATCAGATGGGGCTTTCTTCACAGGAAGCCAAAACAGCCTAGATGCTCCCAGAACTGAGACAGAGGAGAAACTGCCCGGGACCCAGAAAGCCAAGGCTGCTGACTGCAAAACCACCAGACAAGAGCACCTAGGACCAGTCTCCACCCTTTGGGAAGGCAGGGGCATGGCTGAAGGACTTGGGACTTCGGACAAGGATGTCCAGGGGTTGGAGGCAGCAGGTGTTAGAACAGATGAGAGAACCTGTGCTTTGCCACCAAGCAGCTTGGGGCCTGGGGACCTTCTGTCTCCCCATCTGGGGGGCGAGGCCCACACCGACCTGAGAGAGCACTGCTTCAGACGGGCACACACACCTAGCAGGTGCTACCCAGAGAGAACTTAGGTTTTTAGTCTATTTGGGTTCCAGACAGAAAAGAAGAGGGATTCTCCATTATGGGTTCTGTACTAGGGAGGAAAAGCAGCTCTCCCAGGCTTTGTGGGAGACCTCATTCCAAGAGAGACTCGGAGGGAAGCCTGTCATTTAGCATATGCACAGAAGCTGTTTCTATTCTGCAAAGTGCTTTGCAGCCACAGTGTGAGTTATTACCCACAACTGAGCAGAACTCATCAACTGCAGCCTGACGTTTTCTAAGTATAAAAGTCAAGAAAGTCTCAGCTGCATAATCAACCACACCCCCAGCCCCATTCCTGGGGCCAGAGCCCATGAGCAGGGAGTGCTGCCACTGCTCTGGCTAAGTCTCTGTGTCTGTACAAAGCAAGACAGCCCCCCCACTTTTTTAAACTTAAAAGAAAACTACCAGAGGATGCTGAAGACATTCTTGTGTCACTATTGTGACCAACATTTCAATGTTTCCTTCTTTTTTCTTTTAAAGCAGGCTGGTGGCCAGAGCTCCATGGAAACAGGTGACAATCTTTGTGTCACATCTGAACCAAGGTGCCACACCTCCTGTTCTCTTGGGGGGGTTAGGCAATGGAACAATCATGTGCCATTCACAGACCCTTGGTACTTGTGAATTCTGTTGGTACCTGTCTGCAGCCAGTGACCTGAGAGAGGCTGCCCTAATCATACAAGGCTCTACACCAGCTCAGAGGGCAAGTCCCAAGCCTGGAACACTTCACTTCTAAATTTCTGCATGGGAATTTCTTATTCTGGGAACAAACACTACGCTGAAAAGTTATATTCTGCCACAACTCAGTCGTTAGCTACTGTATGAAGTCAAAAACTAAGAATCCAAGAATGAAAGGTTTAAACACATTTCATGTGCTGCAAGTTCACTCCAAGCCTGGGAATTCAGTAGAGTCCTTTAAAAAAGTCACCAAACCAGGCTGGATTAGTGCGATGCCTCAGAAGACAATATGGCTTCTCTCCAGGGGAAGCAGGCCTGTATGTGGGGTCATCCTGGCTGTGCATCTTATAGACTAGTTTCTTCAAATCAAGGCTGGGCCTTTCCACTGATCTCAAGGGAGAACGTGTTTGTTGAGTGCCTTCAGTTCTGCTGGGAGCATCAGGCTGCTTTTGAGGGCTGGCTGACTCACAAGGCCCAGGGAAAACCCCACGTTTATACAGATGTACCACGACCCACAGGAAACAAGAAGTGGGCTCCCTGGGCTAGTTGTAAATACCAGCGTGGGACAAGGGCGTCCAAGGGACTTCCCATGAGACAGCACCACTCCAGCACTGTCTTAAGGACAGACTCTGGCCTTCACTGCAACCCTGAGACAAGTTCTACAGATGCCGTGAACCATCATACTCCGAAGACGCGTTAATATACCTGACCATTGAGGGACACCGTGCACTCAGAACACTTGCTGGAGCCGTTGGGCAAAGCTGTCAAAACCAAAGCCCCTCTCAGTGTTCACCATCTCAGCTCCTTTACTGGGTATTATACCCAAAGTGAGGGTATCGACATGGGCACACTTTCACACTACTGCAAAGTCAGAACATCAGTTCCAGCCCCGTCTTATGGATAGACCTGTGTACTCTGGGACAGAGTCAGGTCACCACACACGGCTAGGCTCCAGAGTCCAAGCTCTTAGCCACTAGACTGTTCTCTCAAACTTACATACTTCTCACTGGTACCAGGCTCCACCCTAAATACCTGCCCTGGCCTTTAGGTCACGCTGGGGGGGGGGGGTGCAGGGAGGAAAGCTGAAGCTCAGTGCCTCTGCGCCTCCATGTCCACCACAGCCACTGTGCTCTAGGGCTGAGCATCCCCAGAGTGCAGAACCTGTGTGTGTAAGCCAGGGGTCGGGAGAGACGCTGATCACCAAAGGGCAGCAGGCCACAGCACTTGCAGCCCCTGGGAGGCAACTTACCTTGTAGAGCTGGTGAAAGCCGAATGCAATTCCTGCCATGATGATGGCCAAGGCACCGTAATCCCGCCATCGGGAACTCCCGGGGCCTAATGATTGAAGAAAAACACAGGAAGAAAGCTAGCACAGGTCTCCAGCATCCCTCCCTAGGAGTGGGAGTGTCTCAGTTGGCAGGCAAGTGAGACACACAGCTGTGGAAAGTAGCACGTGGCCATCAGAACATCTGCTCGGCTCTCCCTCTTCTTTCCAGGCTCCCGGAACCATCTGTCACACTGAGGTGGGAGGGAGTGACCTGACCATGAGATGCTGATTCAGCTGGGAGCTGACTAACTGTCCAGCCTTGGGGGTCAGATCACAGAGGTGATGGGAGGACCTTTGGCCTGGCCTATGAGGTCAAAGGACAGAGGATCATTCTAGTGTACGCACACCACACCGAGGGATAAACCAGGGCCCATGGTGACTTGGGCCTCCCTGCTCTGCTCACTCCTCAGGCTCTAAAGACACAAGTCGCAAAGGACTAAGAAGACAACTTCTCAGGGTGCTGAGGGACAGGGCCAAGGCCTGTGTCCTGGAGGCTCTGTAAGTGGGTGGGGAAGGGAAGGCAGGTTGGGACCACCCAAGGACTAGCCTATAGCAGCGGGGCGGCAGTGACAGGTGCGGAAGAGGGAGTGTCACAGTCAGAATTCCAGATTTTAGGAGAACGCCGGGCTAGCTCTGGGACAAGCTAGAAGTATGGGACACTTTTGCAAGGGCCACAGAGTTTAAGATAGCCCATCTAGATCAGAGGTCAAGGAAGTTTTAGAAAGAGAATTTGCCATTTTGCCGAGGAAGTGGACAGAGCATCCAGTTCTCACCTCAGGGTAGGCTCCTGGCCAGTCCACACAGAACCAACCAGTCACACAGGCCTGCTCAACCTTTATTGTGCTTTTCCTTTCTGTAACTGTGATTTGAGAACAGCAAATGGAAAATTCCAGAAAGAAACAACCTAAGGTTTTAAACAGTATATACCAGTCTAATTAACATGAGGGCATTTGACCACCCTGCTCTGACCTACCCCGGACTCCACTTAGCTCTGTCCATGTATGCACACTGTATATGCTACTCACCTAGGACACAGTGGCTACCATCCTGACTCTCAGACTGACTGTCTCAGGGTCCCTTACTTCACTTAACAATGGTCTCAGAGCATGAGGGCACATACTGGTAATCTGAATCTGCTTTAAAAAAAAAAAAGCCTAAGAATTTCCCTCCAAAGAAAAGAGTGAAAGTTCTCAATAAGGAAAAAAACACCAGCAAGATTACACTGCCAGGATCAATGGGGGGGGGGTGCCATTTATTACAGCACACTGCCACAGTTACCTTACTATTGTAAGTCTTCCTATGCCCAATCTGTAAATTAAACTGTCACAGCTTTGTATGTAGAGAGGGTCCAGGCTCAGGCTTCCACTGGTGTCTTGGGATGTGTCTTCTGTGGGCAAAGTCTCCACAGTTCCAGATGAGATTCTATTTCCATGAGACAGTTGGGCTCTCTACCATCCCACGAAGGGCTCATGAGGGGCTTAGGTATGCATTCTGGTCTGCCCTCTCCAGGCCTCTGGAACAGAGGTCACCAAGAGGAAGGACAGAGACCACAGTGGACACACTTGGCAGTCAGGGATGAAACTGTGCCAATGGACTGGTTGCCCACAAGGTGCCTGACACGCTTGCTGAGAGGAAAGCTGCCTCCCTCCCAAGGTGAGTCTGGGAGCAAGGAGACAGGCGCACTGTGGGCACCCTCAGAGGGGACTCTAACCAGCTTTCGTGTTTCAGAGAGCTCTCCTGTCTCCACCGTTCCTCTCCACCTGTGCATGCAAGCTCACTGACGCACCTGCCACCATCTGCTGTCCCAGGACTGAAGGAGAGGGGCGGGGCCTCGTGCAGGCTTGGTGGTGGGGTGTGAGCATGGAGTTGGGGCAGTGGGCATGTGGCCTGGCCAGGGAAGTCAGGTCCCCACGACCTCCAAGAAGGTGGGGGTACTTCTCTCCTATCTGGACTACTGAACAACACTCTCAAAAGGTAAGAAGAGATTGAAAGAATGTCTCCTTTACCACCATAGTCCCCTGTACTCATGGAGTCCACCTGGATTCCCCAACATGGCCCAGCTCATCTTTGCCATAAAACTGCAATTAACATAATGGCTTCTCCCAGCCTTCAACTCCCATTTCTGTTTTACATATTCTGACCAGACTCATAGTTTAAGCATCAAGTAGCAGAAGTCAGCGTACTGTAAAGAGACGCCCTCTGCCACACCAACAGCCGCTGCCCAGGGCTCCACGTCATCCTTTCCAGAACGTTTATACACATGGAAAGCAAGAGGTGCGTGTCTGAGTCTCCTCTTCCCTCCCATTCTCAGTGTCTTCCCACAGATGTCTGGTATTCCACACAACCCCCTTGCTGACACACAGACCCCTCTCTGATCTGTAACTGCACCACACACACTGTAGACCTGTGTCGGCTCCCACACAGGCCGTCAGAAAACCTGAGACTATGAAGGAATTCCTTCTGGGACAGAAGGAAAGCGTGGTCGTGACTCCAGGAGACACAGCCAGGTTCCGTCCATGGGGCTTTGCAAATCCATCCACTCAGCACCTGCTCCAGTGCGCTCGTCAGAGTAGATTCTGCCAGTCCAGTGGCAGCAGAATGGCACTTCCCTCTGCTCCTGACGGGCGCCCATCTTCTCTTGTGTGGTTCTCTATTTGGCATGTGTGTGCTTTCCATGTCTACTTCAATTCCTTCCCTCCTCACTTTTGAGAGACTTTCTTATGTAGCATGGATACTAGCGCTCATAAATACCTCATTCCTTTTCTTTTGGTTCTGTTTATGGTCTTAAATGGCAAGCACATGTGTATGTGTCTGTGTATGTTTATGTATGTGTGTGTGTGTGTCTGTGCTTGTGTTCGTGTGTATGTGTTTGTGTGTGCGTGTGCGTGTTTACAGACATCTGTCAATGTGTTCTTTTGTGAGTTCTGGGGTTTGTATTAGTTAACAAGGGTGTCCTCAAAATCTGTCTGGACTACACTGTGCTGCCCAGTGAAGTGTTCACATCTGAAAAGGTCATCCATGAAGGCAAGGACTGCCTCACCTGCTGTGGCCATCCCTGTGTGCTTCCAATTCCCTCTGGTTCCACAGGAGGCTCTGAGACCTCTCTCAATTGGACCCTGGAATGCAAAGTCTCTAAGCCTTGCCTGGGCCTTCCCACTGCTCCTCCCTTCTCTTCTAGTCAGCCTTGCTCTTCATGCCAGAGGTAAAATCCAACCAACCTCTCGAGAGGGAGAAGCCCATTTTTAGGAGGAAAATGTGGGGAAACAGTGGCGTTGCCCCACTTCTAGAGGGTCCTTGCTCCATAGGGCCAGGTGTCTATGCAACCCAATGCCCCAGAGGACACCTTCCCATGGTGCTCAATCAGCAAACCACGTTCACCATTAACCCTCAAATGGCCACTGAGCACCCTATAGGAAGGCGGCTGTATTAGGCTGCAACTCTAGCAGACATCAGGTCTGCTGAATCAGCTGCTTTACCACAGGCACAACTTCCATGCTTGGACAAGCGCAGCCTCGCAGCCTCTTTCTGCTGACATCGAGACCCTGAGGCCAAGCAGTCTCCAGAGCTTGAGATCTGGGAGCTCAGACCCTGCACAGCTGTCCACCACGCAGGCGCTCTGCCCTCCCCTGGCCCAAGAACACCTGTAGTTCCCTGCCAGCTCACCCTGCACCCTCACTGCCGCGGCGGCATTCCTGCCGGCTCTGACTAAGAACATTTTATTGCCCCCTGGTTTTCATTATTAATGAAAAGGGACCGGAATGATCTTTCCTAAAGTTCAGGGAGTCTATAAAGACTAGAAGCTGAAATGCCATTTTACTCGTTTTAGAGATGTGTGATACAATTCTGTCTGTGGCAAAATGAAGAGAGAAAGACTCAGATGCAAAAGCCTCTTTTCCATCGCATGGCTCCAAGGGTAGGAGGTTCGACTGAAGCAGCACACCCTGGCTCACGCCTCCTGCCCACACTAAGGACAGGTTTTCCTGAGTCCAGCAGACGTTCCTATCACGCATCCCAGTGTCCAGGGGTAGGTACAATACAGGGCCAGCAGCCCGATGGCTCCAGGTAGGAAGGAAGGCGGAAAAAGCGTTTTAAAATGTTATCACATTTATTCATCTACTTACATGTGAACAAGGGCATGAATGCACACGTGTGTGGATGTCAGGGGACAACTTTTCTGAGTCTGTTCTCTCCTTTCACCACATGGGTCCCAGGGGTCAGACTCGGTCATCAGGCTTCGTGGCAAGAACCTATACCCATTGAGCCAGCTCGTCGACCTGAGTAAGCTGTACAGTTGGGGCTGGAGACATGGCTCAGTGGTTATGAATACATGCGGTTCTTCCAGAGGACATGAGTTTGGTTCCCAGCACCCACATGACAGCTTACAACTGTCTGTAACTCCAATTCCAGGGGATCTGATGCCTCTGGTATCCAAGGGCACTGCACTAATACACAAATACATACACATAATGAAAAGTAACATAAATAAATTTTTTAAAAAGCTGCACAACTACCAGGTAACATGGTCATACCTATCATCCCAGTATTTAGGAGGCTGAGGCAGCCAGAGGCTCACAAGTTGGAGGGTAGCCTTGGCTACATGACAGAAGTGCGAGTGAGAAAGCAAGAGAGAGCAAGGGCAAGAGGGCCCTGCTTCTCAGACCCTGCCCATCGACGGCTCTTCTCCAAAGAGAGAGCAAGGGCAAGAGGGCCCTGCTTCTCAGACCTGCCCATCGACGGCTCTTCTCCAAAGAGAGAGCAAGGGCAAGAGGGCCCTGCTTCTCAGACCTGCCCATCGACGGCTCTTCTCCAAAGAGAGAGCAAGGGCAAGAGGGCCCTGCTTCTCAGACCCTGCCCATCGACGGCTCTTCTCCAAAGAGAGAGCAAGGGCAAGAGGGCCCTGCTTCTCAGACCCTGCCCATCGACGGCTCGTCTCCAAAGAGAGAGCAAGAGCAAGAGGGCCCTGCTTCTCAGACCCTGCCCATCGACGGCTCGTCTCCAAAGAGAGAGC